GCGCACCATGGCTGTGTGCGCGCCGCTGCGCGACTGCCAGGTACGAGAGGCCGTCCCCGGCGGGTCCTCCTCGGTCCCGCGACCCCGGGGGTGGCCCGGGGCTGGACGGGGCCAGATGGGACCTGCGCTCGACCTGGGGTCTGGCGGGGGGGCCGGTGAGAGGCGTGCGTGCGTCCTGGGCGCACAGAAGGGACCAGAGCACCCTTCTGTGGGGCCCCCACCGAGGGAAACCAGCGGGGCGGGGCGGGGCGGAGCCCCGCGGAGACCCCGGGACCTCCTAAAAAGCGTTAACCACCGCATGGCACAGCAGGGACGCCGGGCGTTAGTGTCTCCTTCGGGACCCGCCAGGGCAGGGAGCCTGGGCCCATTTTGCAGATGAGGAAAGAGGAGTTCTGAGGAGCGAGGGGACTTGCCCATAGCCACGCAATACTCAACCCGAGGGGCAGCCGGCTGTGCTGGCGAGAAGACATTTCCCCGCCCAGGGGAGTGGAGGGTCTCTGCGCCCCTGGCAGGACGCCGAGGGCACCGGCTACAGTGCACAGTTCTGACAATCTTGAGATGTTCCACTGATAGACCTGAAGGTCTGAATTGTCTGATAAAGTGGAGAGATGAGGGGAATTGTTTTGGGGGTTGGCAGGTAGTGTACATCTTGCCAGCCAGGTGGAAACACTACCCTCCCCACCTGGCTCTCTAGTGCTGGACCCCTGTTCTGCCATCCCAGACCTCCGCTGAGCCTGATCAGTGACTCCCATTTACTGAATGTCTGTGTGACTGCACAAAGGGCAGGATCTACTCCCTGTGAGACAAAAGCCAAGAGGCCAGATGGTGGAAAAGAAAGGGCAGTTTATTACAGCTTGCTAGCAAGGGGGAAGATGGCTGACTAATGTCTCAAAGAACCATCTTAAGGGGGCACAAAATCTTACAGTGGTTTTATAGGCTGGTGGGTTATAGGGGAGGGGGTTAGGAATGTTGACCCTCTAGTGTTACTGACTGGGAGTGCCACACCAGATCTTTCAGTTTTCGTTGATGATGGCTATCAGCATAGACTTCTTGTTGGGGGGGGGGGGTCATCACATTCCTAAGGAACTCAAAAGAACAAAGTTGTCATCTTATGGTAGCTGGGAGGTACATGAACAAGCAGGGGTTGTAAAATCTACAGAGCAGTTAGATCTCCTGGAGGGTGCATATCCAGCTGGGTTAGTGTGTCAGAGGTCATTCAAAGTTACAATAGAGCTTTTTTACAATATGGCTTCCTTCATGTCAACCTTGTCTTAAGCCGGTATCATCTGTGCCCTGGGCGGATAGTTCACAGTCACCCTGTGCACCATCCTAGCCCCATTTTACAGAGGGGCTGGCCAAGGGTCTGAGGGAACATCTTGCCTGAGGGCACATAGCTATTTAGAGGCCGCTGGGATTCACATCTGGATCTTTCCACCCAGGGCCCCTTCTCTCTCTGCTCTGTATTGTCTGTGAAATCTGGGAGTCCATGCCGGCCCCACAAGGCTGGGTCTTACGTAAACCCATACCTGCACGATGCTGGGCATTTGGACATCTTCGGTGCATGTTTGGGAATTGGGGTTCGTGTGTGTATGTTCGGAGGGCTACATGGAATCAGGCCCTGGTATTCCCTTCTTGCCCTGTGTAGGCATGGAAGGATGCTGGACTCCCGCTGTCAACCTCAAGCAACGAGGCCTGCAGGCTGTTTGATGCCACCCTGACCCAGGTATGGCCACTGGGAGAACTGATGGCCCTCCTATAAAGGTCCATGTTGAGGTTTTTTAAATTGGTGAATGCTTTTAATTAATGTTTTTCATTTTTTAATTTTTTGGTTCATCTTACAGCTACATTTATTCATGCCACGAAGTAAACAGTACTTACACAAGCGTGCAGCGATGCACTGCACTCCCGTCTAGCATCACTGGCTTAAACGTACATCCAGAGTGACATGTAATCTGATGTGCTTTCCATGGAAAGCTGGTTAATGATGACTGAGCAGGCGCAGGACTTGAAGCTTTCCAAGCTTTACATCTTCATCAGCACGCCTGATTTTATAAACCATAGAGCCCATCAACCCCATTCTTACCCAAATCTCCCAGTAAACAGGATAGTAGGGCTTCATGGGGACCCCAATATTCTTCATAATACTTAGAAGCATCCTGCTGCAGGACCAACGGTTCAGTCTGCACCAAAGCCCCACAGCCAATGGCTCGGAAAGTTGCAAGTGCTTTTTAAATTGCATGGTGACTTTAGCAATAGACTGCAGTGAAATCTATGTGGTCTGTACCGCAGGACATAGGAACATGTTGGAAACATCTCTGCCAGCCCAGGGCATGGCTGAGAGATGGCAGCAGGCTGGCCATTGGGGATGGTCTGTGAGGGTGCTAAGCCTTCCACAGGCACCCCTCTCTGGCCTGCTGAGGGTTTGATGTAGGGCTCCTCCATGTAGGGCATGGGGGACCCTGTCCTGGGGCTAGTCTGTGAGTATACTGCTCTCACCGATGGCTGTTCCAAGACCTTCAACCATATTACCAGTCATTTCTAACACCAGTGAAGGAGCCTATAGTTTTAGAGCTAGGAGGAATTTCAGAGGTAAAGTCCAGCTACTTTGTTTGACAGGTGGGGAAACTGAGGCCCAGAGAGCTGAGCTGACTCTTGCGGTGAGTTAGAGGAGGAGCAGGATGCACCTGGGTCTACATACATGGATAGAAAACTAGAGCTTGTCTTGGGCCGGCCCGGTGGCGTAGTGGTTAGGTGCACGTGTTCTGCTTCGGCGGCCCGGGGTTCACAGGTTCGGATCCTGGGCGTGCACCGATGCACCACTTGTCAAGGCATGCTGTGGTGGCATCCCATATAAAGTAGAGGAAGATGGGCAGGGATGTTAGCCCAGGGCCAATCTTCCTTGGCAAAAAGAAGAGGATTGGCATTGGATGTTAGCTCAGGGCTGATCTTCCTCACAAAAAAAAAAAAAAACTAGAGCTAGTCTTTATCATGAGCTATGGAACTGCTGCCTATTGACTCCATCCACACAACATAAGGACCAAGGAACCTTCAAGAAACATACGGACCATATAAGAAACGACTGGTGAAATGCTATTAGCTTGCCAAGGGACTGCACTGTGTCCTTTGGGCTCTATTTGTGCCCTTCCTGCACCTTTTGGCCTCTGTAGAGCGTGGATTTCTTGTATGGCAGGTGCTCAATGCAGCGGCAGCCCCCCCTACCCCCACCTGCCCCCGGCCTGTGCATATTCTGTCCCTTGTATCGGTGTCTCTGTGACATCCTGTATTAGAGCATGGGTTCTTTGAGTCCCTGCGCCAGCTCCGCTGTGACTTGTTAAAATACATGTGCTAATTCTGCATAGATGTAGGTTGGACATCTGCCAGACACATTCTCAAATTTAATGCATTATTATGGTTTTAGGATTTTAAAAAATAGGCATTTTTTTAAAAAGAAGACTAGAAACAAATACACCAAGTTGTCAAAAATGGTGATGAGATGAGTTTAAAGGTTAGTTTTATCTTTCGGCCTTCATGCCTCTTCCTATCTTTCTATAATAAATGTTTACTGGGGTTCTTCTTCAAAGGGATGAACTAGAAGAAGGAAGGTTCCATTGTGGCACCTGACGTCAAGGCCCCTCTTAGGGCTGAAGAAGCTGACGTTGTGGGCAGGTCATCTGTCAGGAAGAACCTTCCTTGAGATGTTTTTTTTTTGGAAATAGAGGCCTCATCAGCCCTAGAAAATGTGCCTTGAGTTATGTGTATTCAGTCTCTTCTTCTAAAATCAAGCCAGTTATGGTTTCTTTGAGTTAGAGTCTAGAAAATACTCATTGTTCTAGAAAGAAAAAAAATCCAGATTTAGACATGTGCCTTCATTAACTGAACTAAGGACTCCCTGGGGACAGCTTGGTTTTCCCTTTTTATTTCAGTACGTAAAGTGGACCAATGACAAGAGTCTTGGTGGCATTGAGGGCTGCCTGTCAAAGCTCAAAGCAGCAGATCCGACCTTTGGTGAGTGGTGCTTTCCCTGGGTTGAGGAGCTCGTTTCCTGGGTCCAGCCCCTCTCTTCCCTGACTGCAGGACTCAGCTGGGTTGGGGAGGGCAGGCCTGGTGGCAGTGGCCAGACTGGCATTTGCACGGAGGGAGGAAGGGAAGATGACAGCCACCATTGGGCTTGGAATGACAGCTGCTCTCATAGAGAAGCCAGGTTCTAGAGAGGGCCATCTTTCAAATTTTTTCCCTAATTGTACACCAATTCTGCAAGGAAGACACTGATCCCATTTCAGTTGAGGAAACTGAGGTTCAGGGAGAGTAAGAAAGGTACCCAAAGCCACTCAGCTGGTAGTTGAGGGGCTGGGATCAGATAAGTCTGCCTGAATCCTGAGCTCAGACTTGCTCCTGGACACAAGAGGTGGCTGCCGTGGCCTTTCAGGGCACTGGTGTGACCTCACCCCGAGCCTTGGGGCAGGAGGACCCACTCGGTGACAGAGGCTGGCCTCACAGGCAAGCTTGTACACAACGGCCATGGGGAGGTCAGCCCAGTACATTTCAGAACCCCAGGAGGGTGGCCCCAGTGTGGGGTGAGGTTCTGGGCCTGGGAGAAGGGCTAAGGGTGGGGAGGGCAGAGTAGCAGGGACTCCCCCACAACGCATCGCCCCCCACTGTGGCCAGGTCCCGCTGAGGCCAGAGGCGCAGAATGGGGAAGAAGGAAGCTGAATCCAACCTATGGGGGAGGCAGTAGCCCGGGGTGGGCTCAAGCTCTCTGAGCAGACCAGAAGCATGGGCCACATAGGTGGTCCCAGCACTATGGTTGGGCCCTAGGTCTCAGGCCTGGGACAGTAGCTGAGTTCCAAACGCCAGTGGACGCCCTTCCTCTGTCAAGGTGGGGGCTGGAAGCCTGGGTAGGACCTGGAGGCCTGCATGCCTGCCAGCAAGAGGCTGGCAGGGCTATAAGGGCCACAGGGCCCCCCCGACCCCTGGCCACAACACCCTCTAAGCTATCAGCACATGAGAGTGGCCAGATCATGGCTTCTGTGCTCCAGGGACCAGCCTCTTGGACAGTTCTACTGAGTGGCCCCTGGAGACCCTGTGCTGGTTGTAGTGACAATATCAGATGATGAGGGGAACAAGGGAGGAGCCACTGGGGCCCACAGGCAGCCCTTGACGGTTCACCCGGTGAAGGGGGGGAAGATGCCCCAGACGTTGGTGCTCACCAGAACGCCCTTGTTAGAAAAGTATCAGTGGGGGTGCAGGAGGCTCTTGGGGCTGTCGCTCCTCCACGTGCATGGTGAGGGCCCTGGCTGAATTCTGGACTGCAGATAGGGGCACAGCGCCCAGCCCACCCGCCGCCTGGGGGGTGGGGTGTTTATTTCACCCTCGGGGATGGGTGGGGCTGGGCCGGGCTGGGCCAGGCTGGGCCAGGCTGGACTATCTGAATCACCAGCTGTTTTCCAACTGTTCACCAGCGATGGGCCACGCCATCTCTAATGGCCTCGTGCTGATTGGCACGGGAAGCTCCGTGAGGCTGGACAAAGAGCTGGACCTAGCTGTGAAGACCATGGTGGAGATTTCCAAAACACAGCCGCTGACGCCACGGGAGCGGCTGCATGTGTCTGCGGTAGAGACCTTTGCCAAAGGGTGAGGGTCCTCCCTGGGCTAGGGGCTGGTGCTCTGAGGCCGTGCCGGGCGATGCCACAGGCTGCCTCAATGCCCATGGGAAGGGGGTCTTTGGGGGTGGTTCTCACCCTGCCTTCAGTGCCCCCCTGATGATAATCACATCCTGCTGCTGCTCTGTCATCAGCTAACTGCCAAATAAGGAAGTAGTTGGCTAGAATTCCCAATATAGCATCCAAAGCGACTTATTTTGTTTCATTAAATAAGTTGGTTATTAAAAAAATAATAGGACCACATTTACAGAAATGTATAAAAAATAGAAGAGAGGGGCAAACCCAGTGGCGTAGCAGTTAAGTTCATGTGCTCCGCTTTGGCAGCCTGGGGTTTACCGGTTCGGATCCCGGGCGCGGATCTACTCACTGCTCGTTGAGCCATGCTGAGGTGGCGTCCCACATAGAAGAGCTACAAATCTACAACTATGAAACACAGCTATGTACTGAGGCTTTGGGGAGTAAAAAGAAAAAAAAAGGAGGAAGATTGGCAACAGATGTTAGCACAGGGCCAATCTTCCTCAAAAAAAAAAACATTAAAAAAAAAAATAGAAGAGAGAAGAAAACCTCACCCTCAGCCTTCTTGCCCTGACACACCTTTGTGAGCATCTGCTCATGGCCTTCTAGATTGTCCCCTACCTCTGTGGTTCCCGTGCTGTCCCCCTGTGTGTGGACATTCTGATCCTGGAGCCCATCTCCAGGAAGCCCCTGTGTCTGCTCAGACAGAGATGCCCCGCAGAGCTAGGTGACCTGAGCTGATTGAATACAGGGTTCTGAAGCAGTGACAAAGTTCTGGCCACGTCCTCCTGGTGAGTCAGTGCCTGACGCCAGCACAAGGGTGGAATTCTACCTCGGAGACTTCCTCCAGCTGGTTTATAGTCTTGGGTGAAATTGTCTTGGCGCCTTGTTAAACCAGTTTTTTTTTGCTTGAATTAGACAGTAAAATTTCCCACTGGATTTTCAATTTTCTGAGCCACAACCTAACATAGAAACTTACATATACATATACATACATATATATATGTGTGTATATATATCTTTTTAACCAGTTCAGTGCAGACTATGACACTGGCGAGAATGATGCCTTCTGCGCTCCCCGTGTGTGAACTGTGTTTTCAGTGTTGCTGAGAAACCTCTCTTCACTTCCAGGAACTTTCCGAAAGCCTGTGAGCTATGGGAACAGATCCTCCGGGACTACCCGACAGACATGTTGGCCTTGAAATTTTCCCACGATGCCTATTTTTACCTGGGCTACCAGGAACAGATGCGAGATTCTGTGGCTCGAATTTACCCCTTCTGGACACCCAACATCCCCCTTAGCAGGTGAGTGCTGGTTGGAAATCACATCATTTCTGTTTCTTAGTCTCTCTCCTCTGCTCTAAAAACATGGCAACTCTCCTGGCCCTGCCCTAAAAACAGTGAGACTACTGTTGCTATTTTCCTAGTTCTTTAAAATGAAAAGGTTTCATTTTCTTCATTGATCTTCATCCCATCCTGTGAATGAGGTTGTACCATGATGTATCAGTCAGGACAGGATAGTTTTGCTGCAGTAACAATCATCCCCTAGATCTTATTCTCTAGAGAGTTATCTCTCACCCATACTACCTGTCCTTCGTAGGAGGGCTGAGGGCTCTGTGTCCGTGTCATTGTCTCCCTCCAGGACCCCATCTGATGAAGTAGCTACTCTCTGGACACACTAGTCCAGGGAAGACAGCTCTCCTGAGGGACTCACAATGGCAATTAAGTGCTCAGGGTGAAAGGGATACCCTGCTGCTCCCAAGTCATTGGCCAGAACCGTCCAGTCACCCACCCACAGGAGGCCAGGAAGTGCAGTTCTGCTGTGTGCCGGGGAGGAGAGAGAGGCCTGGAATGTCTAAACAGCCCTGCTGACCACCACACATGATCACCTCCACTGCCTCTTAGTCACAGGATTGTTGTGAAGGTCAAACGGGTTAATAGATTGCAGAGCTGTCTGTCAGGGTTCTCCAGAGAAACAGAGCCAATAGGATGTGTATATCTATATCTATATTATTTATACATGCACATAGAGAGAGAGAGATTAATTTTAAGGAATCGGCTCATGCAGTTGTGGGGACTAGCAAGTCCGAAATCCGCAAGACAGGTGGGCAGTCTGAAAAGTGAGGCAGGGTTTCTGTGTCACGATCTGAAGGCAGAATTCCTTCCTCCTCTGGGCTTTCTCTTAAACCTGCAACTGATTGGATGAAACCCACCCACATTATGGAGGATAATCTGCTTTCCTCGGAGTCTACTGATTTAAATGTTAATCACATCTACAAAATACCTTCACAGCAACATCTAGATAGTGTCTGACCAAACAACTAGGTACCCTGGCCCAGCTGAGCTGAAACATCAAATCAACCATCATAAAAGCCTAATTGTACCTGACACATCATAAGCATTCAATACATGTTTAAACGTGGAGGGTTAAATAATGCCAATAAGAAATCAATAAATAATTTAAAAGAAAAATCTGGAAGCCAGTGCTCTAGAACATTGCTTCTATGACTAATTCCATGAATAATAAAAGCTAAGGTTTGTCTCTATGCTTGGTAGTAAAGATACCATCTGAGCCTCAGATAGAAACTCCATCTCTCTATCTTGTTTTCACGTAATCCCACAAAACCACAGGAAAGAATGCCTCTTCCATGTGTGACCACCCTGGGCACTCAAGTCCAGGGGTCACAGATGAGAAATGGAAGTGTGCATTTATTCAGCAAAGTGCCTTCAAGCCCATCCTGGGCTGGGCCTGGGCCGAGAGTGGGTTGGATGGGCAGCGTCCTGGCTTCTAGGAGCTGAGGTCTGGGGAGGAGCTGACCAGTGAGTGCAAGCCAGGCTGGGCTGGGGCCGTGCACAGTGCTGCTGAGCAGAGGAGAAGCCACTGATAGCCTACCATCACCGCGGCTTCCCCGGGAGGTATCCTGGGCTGTGCCTCCGGTGGGCGTCACCAGGCAGACACGAGGAAGAGGGCCGTTGTCATCCTCAGTGGAGATGTCGTTGATGTCTTGGGGGGGATGTGAATCATGGAGGGGGTCTGCTATGGAGATGGGGTTTGGGGTTTGGGGGTTGGATGATTGTGTAGATGAGGAAAGTCACACTGCTCTTCACCAACCAGAAGCATCAAATCACTGGGAACAGTGCTTGGCGTGGTGCCTGGCACAGGGACAGCGCCTGGTTGGGCTGTGTATCAGTGTCCCAGGGCTGCTGTAACAAAGTGCTATGAACTAGGGGGCTTAAAACAACAGAAATGCATTCTTCTCTCCCAATTCTGGAGGCCACAAGTCGGAAACCAAGTTGTCAGCAGGCCGCGCTCCCTCTACAGGCTCTAGAGGAGGGTCCTTCCTGCCTCTCCTTAGCTTCTGGCTGTTAGCAATCCTGGCGCTGCGTGGCTGGCGGCTGCATCGCTTGGTCCCTGCCTCTGTCCTCACATGGCTGTCTGTCTTGTGTATGTATGCATCATCCTGTCTAAATCTCCCTCTCCTTTCTCTTATAAGGACCCCAGTCTTTGGATTTAGGGCCCACCCTAATCCAGTGTGACCTCATTTAACTTGGTTACATCTGTAAAGACCCTAATTCCAAATTAGGGCCTATGTTCAAACCTGTCATTTTGGGGACACAGTTCGACCCATTTAGGTCATGCTGAGGGTTGATCAGTCCCTGTCCACTTTTTTAAAGATTTTTTTTCTGGTTTTAGTTACGTGAAAGGCATCTATTCTTTTGGATTGATGGAAACCAACTTCTACGATCAGGCAGAAAAGCTCGCCAAAGAGGTAAGTGGCCCTTCCTGAGTGCCGACCCTCAGGGAGTAGCGTCGGGGGGCAGAGCACGTGAGGGCCACCACTGGCCAGTGACCCCACAAGGCCCCTGCTCTGGGCCTTGTTTCCTCAGAGATACTGGGGAGGGCTCTTCTTAACAGAGAATGCTGCCACCTCTCACCTACCCCTCCCTCCATCCTCCAAGCCACATTATTACTCAGCAAACTACCTCCACAGGGAGGAAGATGCGTGAGGCTCAGGGAGGTTACATTCCCCTCTCTCCCTGTCGGTCGGTCGTGAGGAATGTAGGCTCTGGGCTGCCCCAGCTCTGTCTGTCTCCAGAGCCTACACTTTGTGCTGCCGGAACCAGAATTTTGTAGGCGAGGAAGCACATGTTGACACTGGTTCTCCCACCTGGAGCCTCACATTTCTAGGTGTCACTGATGGCACCAAGCTTCGGGCAGTGGAGCAATGATTGCAAACAAAGGCTGCTTCCCGGTGGGCCCTGACCTGAGGCTTGGGGTCCTGCCAGCCAGCCCTCCCCTTCACCACCCCCATCCCCCTCAGAGGGAACAGTGGTAAAGGGTGCAGAGCAGCGTGGGGTTTGCTAAGCGCTTCCCACCAGCCCAGGCCTCTCCCTCCGCGCTCACTGTGGTGGTCTGGCTGGTGGACGCCGCTCACGTGCTGGCCCGGGGCCAAGGGGTCAGGCAGGGCCTCGAGGCATCCTCTGTCACCGGCCACCACAGCGTCTCTGGCTCTTGAAGTCCCTCTCCCCAGCTCTTCTTCTCGCAGGAGCAGAAATGGAGGCCCAGGGAAGGGCTGTCATGCACATGGGAGCGACAACTGCTCCTGTGTCTGGCTCAGTGTTGGCACTTTATGTACACCTGCTCATGTCTGCTCAAGCCCTTTGCCACAAGGCATTAATCTCCTTGTTGCCCAGATGAGGGGCCGAGGCTCTGAGAGAGGCCAAGGCCAGAAAGGCTAGTGCAGCTCAGAGAAGGCAGAGCCGGACACTCACCTGGGCCACCTGACCGGACCACTGTCCTTTAAGCTGCCTGGACCAGACCCAGCTTCCCAGCATCCCAGCCAGGGCTCTTGCCCCCAGACTTGCCTAGTTATCCCCCAGCACCCCCTCCTCAGGAGATGGCCAGCATCCTCTGGGGGCCCATGGGGCCTTGAGGTCTCTGAATACTGCTCCATTTACAGAAATGGAGCCCAGACTTGAGTGCAGGGTGATGGGCTCTGTGCTTTAGCCCTGAGTCTGGCTTGGGAAGACCGGGGGACTTCACAGTGATGTTGGCTCCATGGCCTGGGTGATCATCTAGGTGCCACCATCTGGGGGTCAGCCACAGGAAGCTCTCCTGGAGACCATGGCAGCTGGGCCCTCCTATTAGGTAGCATCCATCTGGGCACCTGAGTACTGGCCGCATGGTTCGAGGAGCCAGAGGACGGCTAAAGGGCGCAGGCTCACGCCCTGCCGGGTCGGGGCACCCCTCTGTGCTCCCTTCACCCCCCTTTCTCCTGCTCTCCCCGCTCCTATAAGCGCCCGCGCTCTGACCCCAACACCAACACACCGCAGGTGATCACTGGGCAAAGCCAGGCTGTGACAGGGACCCTTCAGTCTTCTAGGAGAACGAGGATGGGCTGCACCAGGCTCTGCTGGAGTCTGGAGAGGCCTCACCGTTGTGACATATGGGCCATGTGTCTGCAAGCCGAGCCCCAGGCTGACAGGGGCAGGAAGAGCAGAGGGTGGCTTAGCAGGGGAAGCAGAGCGGCAGCGGCACAGCCACGGAGCTCAGAGCGTGGGACTCTGAGCGCCTGGCAGGCTGAGGCTTAGGGCATAGGTGGGCAGGGCGGGCACTGGGAGCAGAGGCTGCGGGGGCAGCAGGGCTCTGATCGTGCTGGGCCTTGTTGACCCTGGAGGAAGTTTGAACTCTGTCCCAGGGGACCTTGGGAGGGCTCTAAGCAGGGAAGGAAGGTGGTAAGGAACCCCTGAAAGGGGTGGGGCCTTAATCTCGGCAGAGGGGTGAGAGCCGCCCCGCTGCCCTGAGCCTCTGACATGCGTGAGAGCAGCATGCCTAGTGGGTCTGTTCATGGGGCCCCAGCACCCCAACCTGCTCAGCTGTACCCCTTCAGTCTCCCGAAGTGTCCTGGTCCTGCAGGGCTCTGCCCCGGGTGCCCATCGTCCCTATAGACCTGCTCTTTCTTACAGTCCCCATGTGGACCGGGCAGGCAGGAGGTGGGAGCAGGAGGCAGGCTTGCTGGGGACCACCTGTCAGCATAGACCCCGCAGCGGGTGCCAGGCCAGGGGCAGAGGGCACGGGCCTTCCCAGCTCTGTGCCTGTGAAAGGCACGGGGGACTGAGGCAGCGGGGCCGGGGGGCACTGTGACCTGGTGTGGGGCATCTGGGCTCACATGGACTGTCCACAGGACCACTGCGGGCCTCACCTACTACTCCGTGACTGGTGCTTAGTAGGTACTCAGTAAATGTCAGGCTGAACACATAAATGAAAGAACAGCCCCCCTGTGGGGTGAGAATCACACTGAGTCCTGCCCACCTTGCTGGTCACTGTGAAGCTCACGGGTCGTGGGAGTAGCTGTTAATAGTGATAATGTCAGACGAGGCGTTTCAGAGCCCAGAAAGCCACGCGTGTGGCCATCGCATGTGTGTTGGTGGGAAGGGGCAGCCATGAGCCCCTGGAGCACTTGACCATCTGCAGTGTTCACACGCAGCATCCACTTTGTCTCCACAGTGGCATTACTTCTCACGGGGGGTTCGGGGGAGAGGCCCAGAGGGGCTGGGCTGCACATTGCAGGTGACTCGCTGTAGGCAGGAGGCTGTGGGGCCAGGGGGGTGAGCCCCTGCTACCGTCCAGTTATGTGGCTCTTGGCAAGTCGCTTAGCCTCCCTGAGCCTCAGTTTCCTCATCTCTGAGATGCGCAGTGATGCCCTGATTGGCAGCATCTTGTAGTTGGTGTCACAAGCTGGGACACAGGAAATGGGGCTGGTCTTTGGGGTAGTTGTCATTTTGAGGCAGAGCCCAGTCCCCACATTTGTTTGGGTCCCTTGTCCCCCTGCGTAACTCAGAGATGCCGCGTGGCCTGACCCAGGCAGCCTGACTCATCCACTTTATCCCAATTTGTGTTCCACCCCCTCCCCGTGTAGGCTTTATCTATTAACCCAACGGATGCGTGGTCGGCGCACACCATCGCCCATATTCACGAGATGAAAGCAGAGATCGAGGGTGGACTGGAATTCATGAAGCACTCAGAAACCCACTGGAAGGTATGCTTCTCGTCAATCCATCTGCCTGGAAAACTCTGTCTGTCCCCTCGAGTGAAGCCCAGGGTTTACAGACAGGAGTTGTAGGGTGCAGCTTAGTTCTGGGGAAACTCGTGTTCTGCTTGGCTTTGTTTTTATCAAGCCACAACGTCCACTAGGAGCCACAGGGCTCCCCAACACCTGCCAACATTTTGCAGATGATTCTAGAATTGCTCTTGGCCTGAGGCATTTGGTTGTAAAAGGAACGGATGAGAAAATTACCAGGAGGAGAGACTGGCACGGGTGAAGACCTGAGGGCCTGAGTTGCCTCTTCTGCCACCACCAGCCAGTGGGTTCAGCATCGAACCCAGAACCAAGGAGTGGGCTCAGGGAGTGCACAGTGCGGCTGGGGGACGATGGGGTGATGGCACGGTGATGTGTCTGCAGGACTGGCATGTGGGGGTCAGGGCCCTTGTGGGGAGGGGTGCTGGGGCCTCCCCGTTACCATTCTCCGCACTTGCCTGCCCCCAGCTGTGATGGTCCCCCTTCTGCATGCACCTCTTGTCCCAGACTTGTCTGTGGCACACAGCCTGGCCACCTGTCCAGGTGTGGTCTCCTTCCCTGCCCTTCTTTGCACCCCACTGGGCTTCCCAGGGCACTGCTGACGGAGGTGGTGAGTCTCTGCCGGGGCCTGGCACCGAGCAGCAGGTGCTCAGTGATTGAGCAAACCTAAGAGAGATCAGCAACCAGCGGGGAGCAGGGAGCTGGCACGGTCACCTGTGTCGTTGGCCTAGGACATGCCGGTGAGAAGTCATTTACAGGAGAACAGACCCCTGGCTTCTCCGGGAGTGGTGTCAGGTAGAGCAGGCTGACGTGTGTGAGATGACGTTGGAGAACGATAATCCCACGAGGTTCACACTCAGATCTTCTATGGATCCTCAACGCTCAGGATGGGGGCAGCCTGAGCCAGGACCTGGGGGGCAGTGTGGGGTGCTCGGGCCCCCCCAGGCAGATGCTGTTAGTTCTCGTGTCAGCACTGAGTCTGGACTAGGGGGAGTGCCCTTGTGGCCATGTCCTCCTGGCTGAACCGAGGGAGGCCAAGGAGGCCTAGCCAGGGCCTTCCAGCACATTCTATCCACATCCCTCCCCCAGACCCTGTGAATTTCCTGGGCCACGTGCTTGAGGCCTGGCTCTTCCTGGGACAGGAACGTGATCCCTCTGAGCCTCAGTTTCCTCATCTGTACACCTGCTATTGTGACAACTGAGAAGCCCTTGGCCCCAAACGAGTCCTCATCAGTGTTGGCCTACTGCATGTAAAATGAGGCGGCCGAGGCCGGCTGGGGTCAGCTTCCAGTGGCCCCTCATCCCTTGATGTCTGCGTCTGTCCCCCGCTGTGGCTCCAGCAACCTCTGGCCTGGCTGACAGCCCTGGGGAGGGTGGCAAGCCCTGGGGCTCCTTTTCCTCCTCCTCCTCCTCCTGCCCCAGGGGTTCGGCTGCCAGCACAGAGCTCAGTCAAGGCTCCAGTCACTGCCCCAGGCTCTGCCCTGCCCTGGGGACCGCCCCTCCCACCCTGAGAGTCCAGCTCACAGTTCTCTGTGCTTGAAGGGCCTGGTCAAGTGGAATGAGCAGTCCCCCAGCAGTGCATGAGCCACACCATCAGGGGCACTCTTCAGAATGTGCAAACCCAGAAGAGGCATGTAACTCAGTTGGGCATGAAGGGGCAGTGATCAGGGAAGGCTTCCTAGAGGAGGCAACCTCTGAGCTGAGTATTGAAGGATGAGTAGGAGTTTGTCAGGCGAAGGACAGGGAGATGGAGAGTATCCTAGCTGAGGACCAGCTTGAGCAAAGACACCAAGGCCTACGGTGGCCTGTGAGGGAGAGGGGAGCTGGGCAGTTTGGCATCCTTAAACACAGGTGCAAGGTGGACGTGGGCCACAGAGGAAGTGTGGTCAGTTCCTCTTTCTAGGAGATGGGAGGTGGTGTCCAGGCAGGGGAGGAACCGTCTGTAGTAGCCTCACAGAAGGAAGGGCTAGAGTTCATGGTGGGGCAAGGAAGAGGGGCCTCCCAAGGACAGGCACAGCATGGGGACCCAGGCCACTTGCTCAGGATTTACTGAATGAATACCTGCTGTGTGCTCGAGTCAGCAAGAACTCAGGCAGCAAGGTGGGCAGGCCTCAAGTGCCAGGGAGGGTGTGCGCTTGGCCCTCGAGCAGGAGGCAGCCATCGACTGGTGTAGGGGCCAGGAGCCATGCAGTCTGAGCTGCACTCGAAAAAGATCCTGGGGCCTCTTGATTCAGCTCTGTCCGGCGGCCGCTGCTGGATGTCCTCCTCTCTTAGCTAGTGAGGCTTGTTTCAGGTTCCCAGGAGCTGCCGCCTGTCAGGGATCATAAGTCTAGTCTCCCAAGCTTGGAATATTCTATCAGGGGCCAGCTCAGAGTGAGAGCAGGTCTTCCTTCAAAATTGTCTCATGTTGAGAGCCGGCCCAAAGTGTAACAGCAGGAACCGTCCAGATGTCAGCCCCGCTCCCCTTGTTCTCTGGGCTCTGCCGGTGCCTTTGTGGAGAGTTCAGCCCTGGCTCATTGAGCCTCATGCTTCATCGGATGCCCTGCACTGTTTGGACACAGTGGGCCTCTGCGGCTGTTGGGATGGATTTGTGATTCATTTTCTCCACTGCACACATAAGGAAGACGAGGCTCAGGAGCTGAGTAGCCTCCCCTGTGTCGGCCCTGGTTCTCCTGTCGTCTAGCTCTGGGGCTGATAAGTGGCCGCCTCCCCCAGCCTCAGTTTCCTCGGTAATTGGGGCCTATCGCTCGCCATCCCTTAGAGCTGAAGGTGATGACACGGCGTGGAAACGCCTGGCCCAGACCAGCCTCAGAGCAGGTCACTCAAAGATGTGGAGTTCTGCGTTGGCACAACACAGCAGCTGTTCTTTTTATTTATTTATTTATTTATTTATTTATTTTGTGAGGAAGATCAGCCCTGAGCTAACATCCAATGCCTATCCTCCTCTTTTTGCCGAGGAAGATTCACCCTGGGCTAGCATCCATGCCCATCTTCCTCTACTTTATATGGGACGCCGCCACAGCACAGCATGGCTTGACAAGTGGTGCGTCAGTGCATGCCCAGGATCTGAATCTGTGAACCCTGGGCTGCCGAAGCGGAGCGCACACACTTAACCGCTGCGCCACCGGGCTGGCCGTACAGCCGTTCTTTTTTTCCCCACAGGCTGTCTGATTTTTCTCTAATTCTCTTGTTCTTTCCCCAGGACTCTGATATGCTGGCTTGTCATAATTATTGGCACTGGGCTTTATATCTGATTGAAAAGGTAAGATGACCGGTTGTCTTATCCTGCAAAGGTGTCCAGAGAAAAATATTTTTCTGCCTTTCGTGATATTTTATATCCCGTGGAGTAATATTTTGTGTTTGCACACTTAACGGGTGTCCTGATAAAATAAAGCATTAATGTTTTCAAATAGCTTTTCAGGACTTAAACGACTGTAGGCATGTTTTTCACTGTCTGGACTTGGAAATCGTGTATATTGTGTGCAATTTGTGAAGACAATTTAGACCGAGTGTCTCTCTGCTGCTAGAGTGAACCGCTGAGCCCCCACCCCACAGACTGTACATGAATGAGCCACGAGACCCTCCCAATGCTTTGCCCCAGTGGGAGCGAAGGTGTGGGGGACACCCTTGACCCCAGTGATTCTGCCACTGGGTCCCATTTAGAAGGGTGCTTCTTGCAGTGCTATTTATCATAGAGAAAAATCTAGAAGCTCTCTAGATGTCCAAAGAGAAATGCTTGGAAGACGAGGACCCTGTAATGACATGTAGAATGCATTGATACAGTGTCTAGAAGAAAGCAGTGACCCCAGCTGAATGTACAGTAAGGAAAATAGAGAGAAAAAAAACTAGAAGAAGAAATTCATGAGAAAGCTTGCAGCAGTTTGACAAGCACTTAATCAGAACAATAAGGTTTTAACAGAAACTGCTGCCTCAGCAGCAGAGGCTGCTGTCTCTCCCACAGAGGGGAGTGGAGAGCCTGGAGCAGAAGTGGGTTCCACTTCTCCCGTCCTGGGACCCACATGGCAGCACTGCCGGTCCCCTCTGTAACCTGTGGGGGACTCTGGCATGGCTGTTTTCAGTTCATATCTCAGTATTGCATTTCACCTTCTCCACGTGTTCATCATGGGAACTTGATCTTTTCCAGGGCGAGCATGAGGCCGCGTTGACCATTTTTGATAACCATGTAAGTCTGCGTTTGTACCCGGTCTGGTTTATTGCAGCAATTTGGCTTTTAGTCTCTAACGATCTTTCAGTCCATCAGTACTTTCCCAGCCAGAAACAACAGTTGGAGCAAGAACACACTTCTTGTGCAAGACCTCGTGGGGTTAATTTTTGCCAGGAGTGGTGTTGTAATCGGAATGGGATGAAGATATTCTGTTGACTCTGTTCACTCCATTGGGATTGGTAGAATTACACGTCTAAGCTGGTCATCTCTGAAACTTCCTCTAGTCGTTTTAGATGGCTTTTCTTTGGTAAAATCATTTATCTGCCCGTAGGAATTTTTTTTATTGTAGTAAAATATACATAATGTATTTTACCATTTTAGCCATTTTTGAGGGTACGGTTCTGTGGCATTAAGTACATTCACACTGTTGTGCATCCATCCCCACTGTCCATCTCCAGAACTTTTTCATCTTCCCAAACTGAAACTCTGTGCCCACTAAACCCTAACTCCCCATCCCCCTCCCCCCAGCCCCAAGTGTGCTTTCAAGAGAAGGAGAAAAGGCTAACTTACAGCTCCCAGGCAGCCCAGTGCAGGCTTAATCATAGAAGCCTAGGATCACGAAAATGCTTGTGGTTTGGGAATCTAAACACCCAGTAAAATTTCTCTTAAGTCATCCTTTCGAGTTGTCAGGGTTTTGTGGTAAGAAATGAATGGTGACCAGAGCTGTGTGCCATGAGCATAGATCAGCTGAATCTAGAACCGTGAATGGGCAAGACGTCTCCCATCCCGTGGTCAGGAGCTGGGGGGTGGGAGGTGACAGATGCCAGGGCCTGGCACGTGCTCCCCCAGGTATGCAGTGTAGTGGGCTCTTTCTTCAGGTCTGCCTGGTGTCCCTCTGGTGCCAGGAGCAGTCTGAGCCCTTGGCGAGGGGGACGGTCCTGATAGCTGAAGCAGAGGGGACAGTGGTGGTGGCTCCTGTTTGTTGAGGCTGGCTCTGTGCAGGCCCCACACACTGCCCAGGCAGGCGGACTCTGGCCATCCCTGTGGCCCCCTCATCCCCCACCTACCCTTGTCTTCCAGATCCTCCCCAGCTTGCGGGCCAACGGTGCAATGCTGGATGTGGTGGACAGCTGCTCCATGCTCTACCGGCTGCAGATGGAAGGTAGCCAGTCTCGGCACTCTCCTTTGGCTCCTCTCCTCTCCTCCCACAGAATAAGGGGAGACAGCCTCCGCCTGGGTGCAGGGCTGGGCAGGAGCTCATTAGCAAGCCACTCCAGGGCACCGCTGTGGGCCTTGGGATGGCATGTTTGGCTGTGGCCTTGGGTACCAGCTCTGCAGCTGCCTTCCAGGCAGTCTGAGGCCAGTGAGCCCAGGCTGCCACTGCCCTTTCTTCCAGTTCCCACGGCCCCTCGGTGTGCAGGCCTCAGGCTCTGTGCCCGAGGTGGCACCTGCCATTCCCGTGGCCTGCCCACCAGGCCTGTGGGGCACAGGTGGCACCTGGCCCCCTGTCTCTGGGTGCTACCTCCTTTCCTAGAACAAGTCTTCTCAATGCCCTGGGATTTCAGAATGAGAGATTTCTCAATATTGTCACTGCAGGTAGCCTTGACAGGGTTGGCTGCAGCTCTGGGGGCTATGGAGAGCTTCCAGCCAACCGCTAGGGTGCCAGACTATTCTCCCTTTGCCCCCAGGCCCAGCAGAGGGCTTCCAGCCAACTGCTAGGGTGCCAGACTGTTCTCCCTTCACCCTCTAGACCTGGGGTCAGCAGGACAATGTGGGGATGAGGCCTGGGCAGGGTAAGCTGTTTCTGGAGGGTTCTAGGAAGGCTTCCTAATGGAGGTGAAATGTGAACCGTGGAAGGATGGGTAGGGTTTTACAGAGATAGGAAAGGGTGTTATATGCAGAGAGCAGCCTGTTTGAAACCCCAGGACACCGAAGCCAGCAGTCTGTTATGGGGACAAGTGACCGGAGGGTCACTGTGGTCAGATGGAGCGAAGAAGGCTAAGAAGTGGGGAGGGCCAGGAGCCCCTGTGCAGGAAGGGCAGGGTGAGGAGTTTGGCTTTTATCTGGGTGTACGGGGAGCCTGCTAGAGCAGGAACAGACAGTCTCTGGATCTGCCTCTGAGAAGGACTCCTCTGAGCAGTGGGGGTGCTGAGCCAGGGGAGGCAGGGGCCGGAGGCCAAAGGAATGACGAGGAGGCTGCTCACTTCCTAGGCCAGCTCATTGATGTTCAGGTGGTGAGGCAGGGGAACTGAAACCTAGGTTGGCAGGAGGCCTATGTGTCATGTCCAGCCAAAACCATCCAAAACTGAGTGGAGAGGGGAGGAGCCTGGGGGAAAGGTTGAGTCCTGTTGACCCTGAGACCTGTTACCCCTTTGCCTGTGGAGGCAGAGCTTGAACACAGACCAGAAGTCTCTAAGGAGCCCGAGGCCTCAAGGCCGGGCTGTCTCAATGTGTGCGCGAAGGAGGCTTGGGAAGGGATGGAGGCTGTGAGGCCTGCCAGGGATTCTGCAGGGCAAGTGAAGGGAAGACAAAAGCCACTCGCTCCCTCACTGCACAGAGTGGAGACTCAAGAGCTGTGTGCAATTTGAAGGCTGAGAGAGAGGTCAAGGGCAACATCTCTCATTAGGGAGGTGCCCATGAGGAGCAGGAGGAAGAATCTGGTAACTTCAGGAATCGGGAGGGACAGGAGGTGGGAGGTGGTGTTGGAGAGTGGAGCAGAAGTTGGGACTGTCTAGAGTTGAGAAATCTGGACACAAATGTTAGAAGGATTTATTTATTAATTCGGCAGATTTTTATTGAGCACCTGTCATGTATCAGGTGCCATACTGGCGATAACCATGGGAAGAATTTTAAAAGTGGTTTTGGTGTTCGGCAAAGGGGCCAGAGACTTCACTTAATACCCTTTGATGGTTTTTTAAATTTGCTTTCTACCCTATGCGTCTGTTGCTTTTGTGATTACACAGAGTTAATATAAACCCGGCCCACCCTCCACCCGAGGCCAGATGCCGCCTGCCAGCCCTGCTCGCAGCCCGGCCTCCTCACCGGGAGCAGGGTTGTAGGGGCCTCTGCCGGTGTGTGGGTACAGGACATGCCCCGGAGCCTCACGCCAGGCCTGTGGGTTTCCTCCTCGTGTCCTCAGGGGTGTCTGTGGGTGACCGGTGGCAGGATGTCCTGCCTGTGACCCAGAAGCACAGCCATGACCACGTCCTGCTCTTCAACGACGCACACTTCCTGATGGCGTCCCTGGGCGCGCGGGAACCCCAGACCACGCAGGAGCTGCTGACCACCCTGCAGGATGTTACTGAGTATGCAGAGAGGCCAGGGCCCTGCTGCCAGGGTGGGGTTGGCCTCCACCCTGCTGAGAGGGCGACAGGGTGCTGGGGCGTGCCAGGTGTGCTCAGTGCCCCTGCCTGCCAGGGAGGCTGGGGGTGGAGAACCCCGCCAGTGAGCGCAGCTGCGTGGGGGTGAGCACACAGAGGGCTGCTCACAGGTGTGCGCCCTCCAGGTGGGCGTCTCCCAGATGTTTGTCCCCACAGGTGTGCACCCCCTGGGTGTTTGCACCTCGAATGTGTGCCTCCCAGGTGTGCATCCCTGCGGGTGTTACCCCTCCCCCAGTGTGCTCCCCCCTGGTGTGCGACCCGCAGAGTGTACCCTGCAGGAGTGCACCGGGTCCCCCAGGACAGAGAGCCCCCTCTCCGTTGCCTGGGCCAATGTGAGAGCCTCAAAGTTAGTGTCTTGCATGGGGGACACGGTGGGGCCCTGGAACCAGGGAGACCTGCCGCTTACAGGGTCTGAGATCCTGGACAAGGCACTTCTCTGCTCTGAGCCTCAGTTTCCTCATCTGCACATTGGGGACAGTGCCTGCTGAGGCAGGCTAGTAGGAGAGTGAGGTGCAGTGACATGGTGACACTCCCTGGCATGGCTCCTGGCACTGGTGGGAGCCAGGTCCAGTCACAACTGAGGCCAGAGAGAGTCCAGGGAGGCAGGTTCTCCACAGCACAGGCCACCAGGGATGCAGCCGCCTCGTTTCCTGCCTGGAGGGCCAGAGCTGTGGGAGCCGTGAACCCTGGTAGTTTGTCCTGGGTGACCATTGCCACAGCTCAGGCTGGCCACCACCACAGCCTCTGGGTGACCATTGCCACAGCTCAGGCTGGCCACCACCACAGCCTCTGGCCCTGCCTGTGGCATGAACCAAGGGCTTTGGCCGAGGAGGCAGCTTCAGGCCCAGTGCTCATCACCCAGATCCGCCACCTCCTGAGGCCAGTGGGCAGGCACGGGCTGCCACAGCCCTCCGCTCCCGGTGTCAGTGCCAACTCCAGTCCAGGCCTTTACCTGCACTGCCTGCGAAACTCCTGACAGCCCTGCGAGGTCGGCACTGTGACTCCCACTTTACAGATGAGCAGACTGAGGCCAGAGTTGGGGGACCTGCCCAAGGCCACGCCACCAGTGAACAGTTGAGCCCAGTTCAGCTGAGTTTAGAGTCCTGTTCTCTCCCCCCTCGCTGCTTCTCCTCTGCCAACTCACCTGATCAAGGCACCTACTGTGTGTCGGGCACAGTGCCAGGGACACCAGGCTGAGGAAGAGATGGCCCCTTCCCTAAGGAGCCTGGGTCAGGCGGGGAGACAGATGTGCTGTGACAGGGGCAGGCCGCTGAGGGCACCTTCTTGGGCTTGCAGGTCCCCAGGGGAGAACTGTCAGCACCTCCTGGCCCGTGACGTGGGGCTGCCCCTGTGCCAGGCCCTGGTAGAGGCCCAGAACGGGAACCCTGACCGCGTCGTGGAACTGCTCCTGCCCATCCGCTACCGGATCGTGCAGATTGGAGGCAGCAACGCCCAGGTGAGCCTCGGCCTCGGGCCATACTAGCAGCTGGAACGCGGGGGCCGGGTCCAGAGCCCACAGCCCAGTAGCCCTATCTCTCCAGGGGTTGGTGCCCATGGTGTGGGAGTGGCCTTATCTTTCACTCCCCTGGAACGTGGTCGCTGAGAACAGGCCAGCCTGCAGCAGGGTGAGGTTGGGGTGGAGTGGAGTGGGGTGGGAGATCCCGCCCCTCGTCCCTTGTTATAGGACCCTGACTTGCCCGACTGACCTTCCAGAGGGACGTCTTCAACCAGTTACTGATTCACGCGGCCTTGAACTGCACCTCCGGCATCCACAAGAACGTGGCCCGGTGAGTTCCTCGCTCATGTCCCAAAGCTGGGCTAGGGAAGGTTTCCGAGCATAGCCGCCGCTCTCACACGGGGGTCTCCCTGTGGGCCTCCCGAGTGCCCAGAGGCTCCCACCACCCTTGGCCTGAGGTGGTTACTGCCTTTGAAGTAGTGAAAACTTGAGGCTACAGAAGTGTTTGGTTCTTCCTTGTTAGCATGCTCACCTTGGCCAAAGTGGACCAGCCCCCTACCCCCAGGCCCACCCACCTGCCCTCCCCAGCCCACTCCTCGTTCTAGCCATGCTGAGCTATAGCTACCCAAACACATCCTGCTCTTTCAGGCCCCTGGGCCTTTGCACATTCTGTGCCCTCTGCCTGGGATGCCCTTTCACCTTTTTCACCGGGCTGATGCTGACTGATCCTGCAGGCCTCAGCTCACATTTTCCTACCTGACTGTGCTGGGTGCCAGGAGGAGTGGTGGGCAGGCAGACCCAGGCCCTGGCTGTGTGGAGCTCACCTCTCATGTGGGAACTGACCCTAAGCAATTAATCACTCAAATATATGTAAACTGCCATGAGGGCGGGGCGTATTGCTCCGAGATGCTGTGTTTGGAGGTGCTGAGTGGGCAGGGAGTCAGGAAAGGTGCCCCAGGGAAGTGACAGTTGAGGGGAGGCCTGAAACCAAGCAGATTCCACCAGGCCAGGGGTGGTCTGGTGAGGAGGAGGGGCTGGAGGGGTGTGGCTGGAGGATTGGGGATGTCGGGGTGGGGGCACCCCAAGAAGAAAGCTCTGCGAAGCCCAGCCATTGCCAACTTGGTGCTCCCTCACCCCACTCACTCGCCCCACATGGGGCGGCCGAGTTCTTTGCCAGCTCCTGCACCAGCCCATGTGCTCCTGGGGTGAGATGTGACCCCCCCTCACCCTGGTCCCCTGCACCCCACTGGAATACCAAGGGGAGAGGAGGAAGAAAGGAGCCGAGGGGTGCCCAGTGGGCAGAAGGGGTGTCGTGAGACCCAGCAAAGCTGTTGCTGAATGTCTGGGACGGCCTCCGCTGGGCTCCTGAGGTCAGGTGGAAAGCCCCAGGGTCTAAACAGTCCCCGGGTGGCCCACGGAGGGCGAGACCCAGCCGCCCTGACAGTGTTTCCAAACCAAGCAGTGCAGGTGTTCACAGCGCTGATAAAACAGGTGTGGACACTGTGTCATACTCAAGTCTGGATGGACATGCTGGAATGGGTTAAAACTCTAAAGCGTTTTAGACACATGCCCCTCGCTGTTCAGCCCTCCATGGCCATGTGCAAAAGCCGCACACATTTCTTTAGTGGTGGAGCCCCTTAGCGAGCTCTGGGCCATCGTGCAGGTGAGAGTTGGCGCCTCTGGTGGCAGCTGGGCGGCGAAGGTGGGGCCGTTTGGACAGAGAGGAGGGCTCAGGGCTTGAGGAGGGGTGCTGGGGCAAGCTCGGGGGCTGGGGGTTTCTGGGGTCCATGCTGGGGGGGCTACTGTGCAGCAAGGGTTTGCCCTTGGGAGTGGAGGGGGAGAATAGGCAGACACCAACTGGAGGGGGAACCTGCTGCTGTCAGGGTGACCGGCATGCCCCCTCCAAGTGCCCTCCTGTCATCGTCACGCAGCTCAGCTCCCCTCCCCTACAAGAGGGAAACCCTCAGCCCCTGCCATGGTGTCCCACCCCCAGTGCCAGGCCCCAGCTCCTAACCCCACCCTCACCCCACAGAATCACTGTTGCCAGTTGTTTGGGGTCTTTGCCTTAAATGATACTTGCTTTGTTTAAACTTGGGCTTTTCTCACACCATCTCCTCTACCGCTCGCTCTCCTGGAGCAGTCTCAGGCGGGAACCCCAGCCCCCCGTAGATGTACTTTCCCACCTTGTCCTGGCATTTGCTATGATGGGAGGATGGGCCCCAAGTTTCCGAGGCAGGCGAGGCACAGAGATGTGCTCACCCTCAAATTCTTGTCACTTGAGGCATCACAGGGACATTGTCAAACTGTTCTCCAAACACTGATGTCCCGGTTACGCTCCTGCGCCAGAGAACTGGGCTCTGGAAGTCCGAGCTTTCTCATCCTCACGCCTCCCCCCGCCCAGCACACCGCCTTCTCTCCAGTCCCCCCGCCAAGGCCAGGCCTCCTGCCTCCCGGCTTTGTCTTTGTCCATCCTGTCCCCTCTGCCGTGACGCCGTCCCCTCTCTCTAGCAACCTGGGGAGGGGAGCATCTTGCTTTCAGCCCACCTCAGCCCCAGCCCGAGGTGCCTGGGTCCTGCCTTGGGGCCAAGGTGCCATCAGGCCCCCACATCCTTCTAGGAGGTTCCACCACAGACCCCGTCTCTTTTCCACAGGAGCCTTCTGATGGAGCGCGATGCCTTGAAGCCCAACTCGCCCCTGACCGCGCGGCTCATGCGCAAGGCAGCCGCCGTCCACCTCCTGCAGTGAGCTGGGCCTGGCCGCCTCCCCAGCCATCAGATCAGCTGCCCACTGGCTTCGGAGGGTTGGGAACAGCGAGAGCCTGTTTGCCAGGCTTGTTAGGGGTAATCTGCAGCTTTAAGCAGAAAGCCCTGTAACCAGCAGCGTTAGAGGAAGGGGGACACAAATCAATTTTAAACATGATTCAGAATCTTCTTCTAATCCTCGCTATGAGCCAGGGTGCAGTTCTAACCAGTCAGAACCAACATGGGTGCTGCGGTACCACTTGCTTTGCAAATTCTGTTTTCCCAGGGGACTCTTACACCTCCTCTCCTGGTTGTTCAAGGGTTGGAAGGCAGCGGTGGGGTGGGGGCGGGCTCAGCTGGGGAGGAGGGTCTTCCACACAGCCCCCCAGGCTGCCCCGGGCATAAACCCTCTCATTTTGTCTTGCTCATCATATTGTAGACAGCTTCTGTTATCCCATCTTTTGGGTGAGGGTACCCATGGCGGGAAGGGACTTTCCCAGGGTCACAGCTAGTGGAGGCCCTGCTGAGATTCACCTCAGGCCCCTGTCCTTCCTGAGGGAGGGGACCCCCCTCGCTGCCTGTGGCCTCGGCCCCCAGCTGCTGCCCCCACTGCTCTACTCATGGAAGCACAAGCACATGAGTTGGCCCTTCTGCTGTCTCTAGAGAGAAGTCTGTGAGCTTCCTGGGGGCTTTGGTGGCACAGATTTGGGCTTGTTGATTCTTTTTTTGTGTGTGTGACCGATCAGGAAGATCGGCCCTGAGCTAACATCTGCCAATCCTCCTCTTTTTGCTGAGGAAGACTGGCTCCTGGGCTAACATTCGTGCCCATCTTCCTCCCAGCATGGCTTGCCAAGCAGTGCGTTGGTGCGCACCTGGGATCCGAACTGGCGAACCCTTGGCTACCGCAGCAGAGCGCGCGCACTTAACCGCTTACACCGCCGGGCCGGCCCCGGGCTTGTTGATTCTTTATTCTAAACTGCACCTCGTAAAGGGGCCTTGGGTACATGGTTTCCTCTGTCGACTGTGACTAATCAGACGAATGCACGTGCACTGAGCTGGTGCGCCTTCTGGGGTGTGAGGACTGAGCTCAAGGTGCCTTGCTGTGGCAGAAATCAAAGCATTGTGACATGTGGCTTTAACAAGATCTGAGCCAGTTTTATAAATGCTGCCTTGGCCTCCTGCTTCCCCGTTGTTAACCTGACCCCGTGGTCCCTCCTGAGCGAGCTGCAGATTTCAGTAGAATGTGCTGGGTCAGTTGTGCTGTGTGAGAGGCGGTCCTGGCCCACAGATGTTTCTCAGGTTCCTCTGGTGCACACTGAAATTAAGTAGGGACTCATGGGGGCAGGGAGGGGGCAGGTCTCCTGGGAGGCAGCAGAGACCTCCAAATCCATTAAGCGAATTCCTGGGATTAAAATAAATTAGTTAATTTGTTCCTCTGACTAGCTGTTGCTGGGCAGGCGCCTTTGAGCATCTCCCATGTGCCAGGCCTGGGCTGAGTCCTGGGGGAGACAGGTTTCTTCTTGAACTTGGGGTGGGGGTGGGGCAGAGAGTCAAGAAAATGGGTAATTCCAATAGGATTTTGAGAGAGGTGCTGTCTGTACCCAGGAGCTAGGGACACATCCCAAGGGGGAGCCCGCCCTCCCATCCTGAGCTGTCCCCTACTGCCGGTTCCCCTGACAGAGCCTGCTCACACCCCTCTCCTGGTTCCGAGCAAGACACATCTTGGCCAGGGAAGCAAGAACCCTGGTCTGTCCCCAGGGAAGCCCTCCACTGCCCCCCTGCAGGCTGGTGAGGGTGCTTCCTCTGTGCCCCACAGCCCTCGCACCTCCCCTTGCTATTGCACCTTTGTCCCCGGCTGTGACCTCCTCAGGTCAGGGTGGGCATCTGTGTCCCAGCATCACCCAGCACGTGGACTGCACCGAGTACCTGTCAGTGGACACTGATGAACCCTTGAATGAATGCATAAAAAAATGAAGCAGAATCCTACTGGTGGAAGGAAGAGATTAATCCACAATGGATAGGCCGATCTTAGACGAGAGGAGGAGGCCAAGAGAAGAGATGGGTGAAGGTATCGGTTAGTGTTGGCAGCGACAAGTCATTAGTAATGGTGTTGTTTACTGCACACCTACTGTGTGCTGACACAATACAGGAATAGGGGCATCGGGAGTGGGTGTTGGGGACCCTCACCCCCAGCAGACACCCACAGGGCTATGGGGATCCAACACCTGGGCCAAGAGCCTCCAAGTCTAGGACCCCCTAGGCTCCTTCCTACTGCAGTTTCCCGTGGTTGTGAGTTAGGCAAGCCTGAGCCTTGGGACTGTGGATGGAGCACAGGCTGCACCAAACTGGCTGCTGTCTTCAGGAGGCCTGGCAGGCAGAGGGAAGCCTGGAGCTCTCGGGCTGGTGGGCCCCACAAAGGCAGCCTGCCTGGGGGTGAGCAGGACTTCCGACAGGCGTCTGGGAGACGACTCCACACAGCGCTCTCCTTCGAGCCCTTCTCTGTCCAGGCCTGAAGCCAGGGCCTCTCCTGGACCTCCCTGTTCCTTGAGCCAATTAGTTCTCTTTCTACAGCCAACTTGAAGCTGGTTTTCTCTTACTTGCAACCCAAAGGCTCTTGACTGATACCTGCAGCTGGGATTTTCACCTGGGTCTGCCTGGCACTGTCTGTCTTCTCCAGTTAAGCAGGATCCTGAGCAAAAGACAAGAGAACTCAGAAGGGATCCCATGGTCAGAGGCTCAGGTGGGAAAGGCAGTTCCCGGGGAGCCAGCACATTGGGGCCCAGTGGGGGTGAAGAGGGAGGCTGAAGGCTGCAGAGGGTGCCCCTAGATAGAAAAGAGGTGTTGAAGATGCCAGGACAAGCCAAAAGGGGATGCAGAGGTCAGGCCGGGCTCCTTCCAAACTGCTACACCTCCTACCTTACCCAGTTCTTACTCTCTCAGCTCCTGCCTGGTGCCCCGCACTGGGCTGGGTGAGGCTGGGGGACAGCAATGACTGAGACCCCGCCCTGCCCTCTAGCAGCTCACAGTCTCATGGGGAGCTGGACTCAGGATCAGAAGTGAAGTGGGACCATCAACGTGGAGTGATTGGTGTGGTTGCTGTGAAACGGGACGTGGGAGCCCAGAGGGGGCCCCAGCCAGCCTGGAAGTCGTCTTGGTGGAGGTCCTGGTCCCAGGATGGCTGCCCCTTGGACAGCTCCCCACCCAACCTGCCCAAATAAATAGCTCATCATCGTCCCTGAAAATGGTGCTCTCCCTCCAGAGTTCCATCCCTCCTGGGCCGACCCTGACAGTCATCCCAGGCTCCTCCTTCCTGCCCCCTCCTCCATCCATCAGCGCCAGATAATTAGAGCAACAGCTTTATGATACTGTGCCCTGGGTGGAGCCCCTCATTTGAACCTCAAGCCCAGGATGTGGGTATTATTTATACTTGGTTCACAGTGCCAGGCTCAAGTGAGGTCAGTCTCAAGATGCCAAATAGGCAGGTGAATTTGGCAGGTGAACATACTGCCGCTGATTGACCCGTCTACCAGTGGAGCTACCAGCTCCACGTAGCTCAGATCAGGGAGCTCCTATTTGCTCCAACATGGGCACTCCCCCACGCAAACTCCATCACCTGGCCACCGGACCCTGGAGGCGCACCCCTCCAATCTGCCCACCTTTGCCCTCTGGACAAATCCAGCTCCCCAGGTGGTGACAAATCCCAGGGCAGGCTTTTGCCACACCCTCTGGCTGTGCTCAGGCCCTCATCACTGTCCCCCGCGGCGAGACAGCTTCTCCTGGTCCAGGAGCACGAACTGGAGTGTCTGGTCACCCAGTGTCACCAGTGCGTTCCTCGGCGGAGGGACCGGGTTTTGTTACTGTATTCGGGACTGACCCGTGCTGCTTTACAAAGCGGGCAGATGCGCCTATTTCGTTCGGTCTTCACATCAACACCCTACGCTAGGAATTTGACTTTCTCCATTTACATTTGAAGAGCTGGGACCAGAACCGTGTCCGCTGCCGCACGTGACTGCCCCGATGCCGAACCTGGGGGCACAGCGCGAGCCCTCAAGAGTCCCCCCCCATCCCCTGCTGCCCGCCCACTGCAGACCCCGGAGGACCTCGAGCATGCGCAGCTCACCCACTGCGGAGAGGCAGAGCGCACGCGCGCCGTATTCATCCTCCTGGGTCCTCCGACTACAACCCCCAGAGTGCACCGGGCGCGGCGACTTTGCGCCGCTCTTTCAAACCGGCCAATCCACAGCCACGTCGCGCTCGCCGCGCCGCGTTTAAATCCGGGGCGGAGGCGCGGCCACAAGTGTGCCGCGACCGCTCGGAGTGAGGGTCTCGAGGTGGGCTTGGGCTCGTATTGTGGGGATGGCGAGAGCTGTGGTGGGCCGCTCTCCTCGCGGTCGGTCCAGGGCGGGAGGGCTGCGCGCCGCCCGGACCGGGCCTGGGCTCTGGCCGGGGGCCGAGGGGTCCCCTCGCGCTCTCCGCCGGGGCTGCAGTGATTACGGGGCCGCCCCGGGGGAAACCAAAGCCCCCAACAGTCCGACCTGAGAGCTGGGAATTTCGTTTTCCGGCGTATTCCGGCCTGGCTCGGACCGGCCCCGACCTGGGGGTGCGTCGCGGAGCGTCTCAGGCCGCATCTCAGGTGGCCTCTGCCGCCCATCCTCTCCCTGACCCGGCTCTCCCTGGCCCTGTCCGTGCTGCAGAGGCTGCTGCTGCTGGGCTTCGCTGGAGGTGAGGGCGCCGGGGCCTGGGCGCGGACACCTGCTCACCTTCTGGCCCCGTCCTCCCTGCAGTGACTCCCTGACTGCTCTCGCCATGGAAGGAGGAGACGGCAGCGACGTGTCTTCCGCCAGTCAGGCCGGAGAACCGAAGGGGGATGTTCCCGTGAAGGATGGTACGTCCTTGTTACTGCGGCGCTGTTGTTCAGGGAGCTCAGTGGGGATGTGGGTTGATGTAATGCTTCTGTGAGAGCTTACTCGTGTATTTATTCATCCGTGCTCTGCACCCATGACACTCATGGTCCCTGTCTTCAAGGAGTTTGCATCCCTCTAATTTCTTTATTTTCTGGTTTTCTCCATCCCCCTTCGCCCCCAGGTTTAAGTTCCATCACAGCAGGGATTCATACCAGGTTGTTTTTTACTGCAGTATCCCCAGTGTGGAGAACACTACCTGGCACTTCGTAGGCACTCAAATATTTGTGGAATTGGATTTTATGTTTTCTTTTTTTGTTCGTTTTTGGTTTCTGTTTGCTAAGACTTGTTTAGGGTCTTTGCGACCATGTTAGTGAGGGAGCCTGGCCTGTAATTTTCCTGTTTTGTTCTGTCCCTGTCTGGTTTGGGTGTGGAGGTGAGAGTACAGCCTCACCAGATGAGTTAGGGGCCGTGCCCTCTTTTTCTCTTGAAACATAATGACATCCTGTTGTACCTTTTATCCTTTGTTCCTCACAACACCCACACTAGGCAGATAGACTGGGTATCCGAGTAGCCTTAACACCTCCATTTTGGAGAAACCATCCTAGAGACTTTGCCAATCGTCATTGCTTCTTCATTGTATGTAGAAAGGTATTTGCTGCCGCACCCCTCTCCTCCTTCCTGTTGTATCCTGCTTTTCAAATATCAGTCCCCTTTACGTGTATGCTGAACCCCATTGCTACCTCTTGAGGACTTCATCCCTTCCGTCACCCTCCTTTAGTAGCCTTACTTGTTATGCTCATCATTGATATACAAAGACCTTCTGTAATCTCACTTGTCCCCAGATCCTCTGCTCCCTCTCCATTGCTCTGTGCCTCATTCAGAGCCAGACTTCAAGAGCTTTCTCTATTTGTTTTGCTATTTTTTTCACATCCTTCAACCCCTTCCAGCCCCTTCTGCCCTCACCGATCCACTCAAGCTACTTTCATCAGCTACTGACGACATCTTTGTTGCCTAATCTACTGGCACTTTTCTGTCCGCTTTTAATCAACCTCTCAATAACATTTGACCTTCTCTCCTTCTGGAAAGTTCCTTTCCTTGGCTTCTGAGGCATCTTGGTTTTCCTCCTGCCTCCCTGGCTGATGCATCTCCATCTCTTTGCAGGCTCCTCTTTCTCTACCGTCTTCTGAAGCTGATCTTCCCCAGGACCTGGTCTGGGTCTCTTTGCAATTGCCTCCAAGGGGCTCTCAGACATTCCCATGGCCTTAAACCCCATCTGCTTTCTGATGGTGCCCACATTTTGTCTTGAGCACAGCCTCTTGTCTGAGCTCTGGACTTGTATATTCACCTGCCTATTTGGCATCTTCATGTGAATGTCTTGCACCTCAAACTCAGCGTATCCCCCCTGCCACCGCATTTTTAGCCTGCTCTTTGTCTTTCTCATGTGAGTAAATGGCCCCTCTAGTCACCCAGCTGTCCAAGATGTGAAGCTGCCACATTCATTCAATCATCAGTTACCGTCATTTCCACCTTCAGAAGATGCTTTTTGATCCATCTACCTCCTTCCAACTCCACCCAAATGCCACCACGTTGGTCTCAGCCACATTAACTCACCTCCACCTACTTAAGTATTTTGCACTTTGGCCAGTGTGTACATTTGTAATGTCAATAGATATTGTCTGCTTCCTTTCTGATACTCTACACAGCAGCCAGGTCACCTTTTAAAAACACAAGTTAGATCGTAACACTTTTCTGCTTGAAACCGTTCAATAGTTTCCTGCTGCGTTTGGATAAAACCCTCTGGGATCTGACCCTACCTACATTTCAAATTCCTCCAGCCACTCCGGCCTGTGACCAGTTTCTCAGACACTTTGTGATTTCCTCTGAGGCGTCCCCACCTCCATGTTGGCCTCTCACCACACTGCCTTTCACTCAGTGTTCCCACTGGACAGTGCACTCCTCCGGGAGCACCCTTGACCCCCTCTCTGCCTGGTACCTAGTGGAGGATGTGGCATGTGTTTGCAGAATGGACAAGTCAGCCAGCCCAAGGTCACTCGGAGCCAGTTTCGGAGCCTGGAGTAGAAGGCTTCGTCCCTGAGTCCTGGTCCAGGATTCCTTTTTCCATACCAGACAGTTGGAAGTTTCTAGCAGTGACCTATAAAATTGACTTCCTAGGTTCAGACATGTACAAAGTGAAATCTGTCTCCCTCTCCTCCTTGTCCCTTAGCCACTTATCTACCCTCTCCGAAGGCCGTCGATATCATCGTCTCTTCTCTTAGGTGTTCTTCCAGACCTACTTTGTGCAAGTGCAGGCTAATATGGATACAATATCAGTCCATTCCCCTCTTTTTATATTGCGTATAGAACCCTGTCCTGCATCTTGTTTTTTGTGCCTGATTAATCTTGATGATCTTTGCATATCAACATATGAAGAGTGTTACCCTTCTTTTTTGTGCCTAAGTAGTGTTCCTATGCGTTGTCCTGTAGTTTATCTCATCTGCTGTGGGTGAACATTTAGGTTGTGTCTAGTGTCTTGCTGTTACAGATACTGCTGCATTAAGTAACGTCATGGATGTCTGTAGGATACATTCACAGGAGTAGACTTGCTGGTCAGAGGGGATGTGCCTTTCTTGTTTCGGTAGGTAGTGCCAGGTACAGCTGTAGTAACGTACACCTCCCGCAGCAGCGTGTGAATTGTCTCTTTCTCCACAGCCTTGCCTACAGTTTATCAGACTTTTTCATTTTTGATAATCTAACAGGTGAAAAATGGAATCTCAGGGTAGATTTATTTTTCATTACTCTTATTTTTGAGTGAGGCTGAACTTCTTGTCATATGTTTAAGAACATTTCACTTTACTTTCTGTGAATATTTTGTGTTCACATCCTTTGTGCATTCTTCCATTATGTTGTTGGTTCTCAGCAGTTTGTAGGCATTGTTCATACATCAGCCCTTTATGATGTGAGCTGCACATATTCTTTCCCTGCTTATTGTTACTTCTAACTTTGCTCGCGGTGATTTTTGCCATACAGAGATTTAAAACATTTTTGTAGGGGCCGGCCTGGTGGTGTAGTGGTTAAGTTCACGCTTGGCTTCAGCAGCCCGTGTTCGCGGGTTCAGATCCTGGGCGCGGACCTACATATCACTCATCAAGCCATGCTGTGATGGCATCCATGTACAAAATAGAGGAGGATTGACACAGATGTTAGCTCAGGGTGAATTTTCCTAACCCAAAAAAAAAAAAAATTATATATTGGACCATCAATCTTTTATTTTATGGATTCTACTTTGGTGTCTGAGTTAGACCTCCACACTCCAGGTTATAAAATAATTTCCCCATGGTTTATTCTTGTTCCTTTAAGGTTTCATTTTTTTCAACTAGGTCTTTGACTTATTTGGAATTTGTCCTGGTATAGTAAGAGGTATGGATCAAACTTTATATATATATTTTTTCTCCCAAAAGCTTATCTCTATTTATCTCAATAATTCATTTTCTCCTTTTATTTGATATGTTACTTTTATGATATGCTAAGTTTTCTTTATATGCATCTGCATATTTCTTGTTAGGTTTGCTCATAGGTATTTTGTATTTTTTGCTACTACTGTAAATAAGGTATTTTCTTCCATTGTATTTTCTAACTGTTCTTTGTAGATATGAAAGCTATTGATTGCTGTGTAATAATTTTGTCCTCAGCCATCTGCTTTTATCCTTTTACTATTTGTAATAGTTTTCATGTGATTTTCTTGTGTCTATAATCATAGCATGTGTGCACTGTGATCATTTTACCTCCAAATTCTTTCCTTGTCTAATTGTGTTGGTGAATGTGTCCAGAACAATGTTAAGAGTTGTGGTGACAGTAGATGTCATTGCCATGTGCCAGGCTTTAATGGAATTTCTTCTTCAGTTTTCCATTAAGCCTGATGCTGGCTTGTGGGTTAATTTACATGTAGATGGTAGACCTTGGTGCTGTTCTTCAGTGTTTCTCTGGTTTGTCTTTTCTCCTGGGTACATGATAAAAGTGTTCTTCCCTGCCACTTGAAGTTGGGTTTGGCTCAGGTGACTTGAAAGGTGGCCCATGAAATGGAAATGTGATATGTGCCACTTCTGGGTCTTTAAGAGCCAGTGTGGAATTTGCTCTTTCTCCTTTCTTTTCCATGAAGACCAGCAGTGTTCCCAAAGGTGGAGGCTCCATCAGCCTGGATTCTGGAGTGAGGAGGACATAGAACAGGGCCCCAGCCTGTTCTCAGCAGACATAGAGTTTGAGTGAGAAATACAGCTTTGTTGTTATAAGCCACTTGCGATTTGAGGGTTGTTTATTGCTTTAGCATAAGTTAGCCTGTCCTAACTGATAAAGTATATTTGCTTGTGGCTTTAGAAGGAATGCTTCTGATGGTAGCCCATTAAATGTAATTTTGGCTTTTGGGTTGAGATGGATACTTCCTTAAATGATAAAATGTATCTATTTCTTTTTATGAAGAGCTTTTAAAGTCAACAGTGTCTGTTGCATTTTATCATATGCCTTTTCAATGTATATGGAGACAATCATGGCTTTCCCTGTAGGTCTAGTAATATAATGATTATGTTACTAGATAGTATAAAATTAAAGCATCCTACAGTCCTGAAGTCCTGGATGAATCTCACTTGGTCATGATATATTCTTCTTCTTCTTTTAATGTGTTATTGGATTCTGTTTGCTGGTATTCCTATTTAGGAATTTGATGTTGATATGAGACTGATCTGTAGCTTTCTTTATAGAGCAAACTTGATAGGCTTTTGGTATAGTTATGCCTGCTTCATAAGTAAGTTGGAAGGTTTCTTTTTTCTATCCTTCAGAGCAATATAAATAGTTTTGTAATGATTTATTCTTTAAAGATTTGGTAGAATTATCTTATGAAACTATCTGGGACTTGTGCTTTTCTGGAGAGAATAGCCCTTTAAAAGATAAATTTGTCCGATTATTTTATAATTGAACTATTTAAGATTTTTTCTCTCTCAGAGTCAGTTTTATAAATAAATAAATTTAAATAACTTAAATACAAAAAATAAACTCTTATTCTAGAAAATTATCCATTTCAGTCAAGTTCTTAGGTTTATGTGTGTGGAGTTAAGGAAACTAACTTATGAATCTTTTAATTTCCTCTGTCGCTGATTATTTCTCTTTCTCTTGTGCATTTGTGCTTTCTGCATTCTCCTTGATTAGGTAATTCGGACTAATTGAACTGACTAGTTAGGACTAATTAGGATATTAGTAAACAGCCATGTATCGCTTAACAATGGGAACACATTCTGAGAAATGCATCGTTAGGCGATTTCGTTGTTGTGTGAACATCATAGAGTGAACTTACACAAATCTAGGTGGTATAGCCTACTACACACCTAGGCTATATGGTACTAATCTCAGGGGACCACCATTGTGTATGTGGTCCATCGTTGACTTAAAAGTCGTTATGTTGTGGCGCATGACTGTATTTTTCATTTTATGGTTTTGATAAGCTTACAGCATTGTTTATTAGGATCAAATAAGATATGATTTGTGAAAGTGCTGTATAAACCTTACCGTATTGAAATGTCGGTTCAGTGCATTTTGATAAATATTTGCTAAGTGTCCAGACCCTTAGCTGGCCATTGGGGAATTTGGGACAGTGTTAGACATTTGCCGTTTTGGAGGAGCTTACAGTCTGGTTGGGGCCACAGAAGGATCAAGAGACATACACAGAATAGTGAGGGAGGTACCGTGAGGGAGGTCAGGTCCAGGTGCTATGGGAGCCCGCGGGAGGGGTGGGAGTGGAGTGTGGTGTGGGAGCCAGAGGAGGGAGCAGCTGTCCCAGCAAAGGCACCCACTAGCCCAGAGCCTGTGGTCTGTTAGAGGGGGTCGGGCTTGTAAACAGACAGGGCTGTTGAAGGCACTAGGGTAGAAATATGGACAGGGGTACAAAGTGCAGTTTTATCTGGGGGTCCAAGATGGACTCCAGAAGAGATGACAGTCAGCAAATACATATGGAGTCCCTACTGTGCATTTGAATAATATTGAATTTGCTTTTGAAAGAGGAATAGGTGTGTTGTAGTTTGTAAGCAGGGAATTTAATTCTAGGGGAGCTGACACAGGTGGTCTTTTGAAAATATTCTGTACCTGAAAATGACTTACCTAGTGTTGAAAAGCTAGTTAAATGACTCAGTGAATGCATTTTAGATTATATCTTAAAAATAAGGACTTAGGCTTTTGGGGCAGCTTAGCAAACAGAATGGCTGATGCTATTTTAAAAAGAAAAATGGAAGAAATAATATAATCTAGATTCCCCTATGAAAATGTGACATTTAAAATAATGATAAGTTACACTTCGGGGAGTGAAATTTCATAATAGTTTTGATTGCTATAGAGACTGGTAATGTTTTCTCTGTATCAAGCCCAACCCTAAAATAACCGTGGACTTTTTTCCCCCAGACATTCTTCTTTTGGCTGATGAAAAGTTTGACTTTGATCTTTCACTGTCTTCTTCAAGGTAAACAAACGAGTTTTCTTCCCTTGCCTTGGGCCTAACCACATTCGGTAAAGTCTTTCATTTAAATGCCAGTGTTATTAATAATCCTTTTCTTTTAAAATAGTGCAAATGAAGATGATGAAGTCTTTTTTGGACCTGTTGGGCATAAAGAAAGATGTATTGCTGCCAGCTTAGACTTAAATAATCAGATTCCTGAAGAACCTCTTTTGCCAGCATCTGAAAACTGCTTCACTTGGAGTCCTCTCACTGGGGAAAAATTTGTGGAAGTTTATAAAGAAGCTCACTTGTTGGCCTTGCAGATAGAAAGCAACAGCAAAAACAAGGTGGCCCAAGCTGCCAAGCCTGAAAACTCTTCGAGCCAGGGTGTGGAGAGATTCATACAGGAATCAAAATTAAAAATAAACCTCTTTGAGAAGGGAAATGAAATGAAGAAAAGCCCCAGGTCACTTAAAAGGGAGACATACTACTTGTCAGACAGCCCCTTGAGGGGACTGCCCCCCTCGGGAACCCAGCCCCCACCGCGCGTGGCCCTGCACAGTGCCCCTGCCCAGGCCAGCCTCCCCCAGAGGCAGGGGCCGCCACACTCTTCTCGTTCTTCTTTGCCAGTGGAACCAAGTACTGCTCACCCTCCGAACCAGGCAGTGACTCAGAAAAAGGTCATCAGCAAATTGCTGCCGCCCCGAGCTTCGTCTGTTAGAGGGAAAAACATTCACTTGGCCATGGAGCAGGTAGACAACACTGCGCACCAGAACATTTGTCTAGGGAACCGGACGCTCCCTTGCTTCTTAGCCCTCTCGGTTTATGCCCTTTAATGGAAACTTTTATGTGGTTTTCCATTACATGGGGGGAAACTTGGAGATTTAGCTGCCCTGAGAGGTCAGAAGCGTAGGAATGGGAAGTCCGTGAAGAGCGCTAACCACGTGGGAGCTGGGTTTGGGGTGGATGTGGGCAGGGCTGTCTTGCTACTGTCATAACTTAAAAACACTTCCTCCTAAAGTCTGTTTGAAATTTTCCCTTCTGTTTTGTTACAACTGGACATTCTACCCATTAGGGATTTCATTTGCATTAACAAGCAACTTCTTTGAAAAATTCTCCCTCCTGGAATGGCAACTAGTCATCCTCCCTAACTATGACTTAGTTTAGATTGCTTTCCTCCCAGGCATTAAGTGGATGAGCTGTCCTGGGAAGTGGCAGTGGACAGGTATGCCTTTGGGGTGCGGTCATCCAACTCTGGGTAGCTGAGGGTCCTAGAGGCTTGTGGGGGAGGGCACTTTGGTCAAAGAAGGTACATGTCAGACGATGGCTGCTTCCAGGTTTGCCTGATCTGGCTCTGTGCTCAGAGGAGGAGGGGAAGCTCCTACTTTGGAGGAGAGGCAGCAGAGAGGCCCTGGAGGAGCAGGTTGGAGCCTGCCCTGCACTCTTTCCCAGCTCGGCTCCTGGCCCTGGGCAACAGGCTTCAGCTCTCAGCCAGTTAGAGAGGAGTGATGCTTTGTGGGGTTGTTAGCAGGTTTAGGTCAATGCAAAATGCCCAGCAAGGCCTAGACATTCCTTTTTCCCCTCTACAAGCACGTCTCGTGGACCACATGACTGCCTACTATCAGAACGCAGAATTGAACCAGGCTGAAAGTGCGTCTGCCACGCAGAGCCCTGCATCGAGGAGGCATGTCAGCCATCGCTTTCCCTAATTAGCTGGGGTTGTTCCTTTAACCATACAAACTCCTTTTTCTGGAGACCATGTGGACATAAATTTCTAAAGTGATCTTTCTGGAATGAGAACAACATAAGTCCTGTGTGTAACACGTGGAGTCAGGGCAGCGACTTGCGTGTGTAACACGTATACTCGAGCAGGGGGTTGTGTGTGTAATATATGGACTCAGGGCAGAGGTTGTGGTATAATTTTGGCTATTCTGGGTCCTTTTGTTTTTCTGGTCTGAGGTGGTGATCTGGTGCCAGAGAGCTGAGCTTTTGATCAGTGAGGTGTTAGCTGTACAGCTGGGTGGCATTTTGAGCTCACTTGGGAACCCCCCCACCACGTGCCACCTTGTTTCTATGGGAAAAGTTATTCGCTTCTAGAGCAGCTCACTGGCGCACCTTCACTGGGGTAAGATGGCCTCTAGAAACGACTGGACCACTTGATGGTACTATTTAGAAATGTGCTTTCAAGACAGCTGCTAGGATGGCTGTAGTAAGAAGAACAAAATAAAATAACAAGTGTTAGTGAAGACATGGAGAAATTGGAACCCTCATGCATTGCTGATGGGCATGTGAAATAACGCAGCCACTGTGGAAAGCAGTTTGGCAGTTCCTGGAAAAGTTCAACATAGAATTACCATATGACCCAGCAATTCCACACTTTGGTATAGTCCCCAGAGAATTGAAGACATGTCCACACAGAAACCTGTGCACCAATGTTCATAGCAGCATTATCCTAATAACCAAAAAAGCAGAAACAACCCAGTGTCCATCAACTGATGAATGGATAAATAGAATGTGGTCCATGCATACTGTGGAATATTCTTGGCAATAGAGAAATTCAGTATTGATACATGCTATAACATGGATGACTCTGGAAAATAGTATGCTCAGTGAAAAGCCAGACACAAAAGGTCGCATATTGTATGATCCCATTTATATGAAGTGACCATAATAAGCAAATTACTTTATAGAGACAGAGCGTAGATTAGTGGTTGACTGGACTGGGAGGTTGAGGGAATGGAGGGTGACTGCTACTGGCTGTAAGTTTCTATTAGGGGCAACAAAAATGTTCTAAAATTAGATTGTGATGATGGTTGCACAACATGATGAGTATACAAAGAACCATCGTGATGTATACTTGACAGTGGTGAATTTTATGTGATGTGAGGTATATCTCAACTTAAAAAATGATGTAAAGGGAAAAAGTTACTGCTTCATCTTTATGACTTTATGAGCTTCTATTGCTTCTTATTAAACTCTCCATGGATTGGTTCCATGAATGCCCTCATACCTAAATGTCTGGAATTTATTCTTTGTTTGACTCTGCTGGCCAAAAAAAATGGCTTTCCTTACTAGATGAAGAAGATTTATTGCAATTGAGCAGCTTGTCTGGTAGAGGGAATGACCATTTAATGAATAATTCCTTTCTGTACAGCATTTTACAATTTGTAATAAGAACCAGTTTCCTCGTTATCATCCTTAAATAATCTTGATTGAGGAATAGCTTTAGAGGCTCTCGCACTTATTAATGATCTGTCTTGGTATTATTTTACCCTGTCTTTAATGAGGGAGCAAACTCAGTCATCGTTTTTGTCTGTGGTAATTTGGTGGAGGAAGTGAACTGTTGTATTCCCTTCAGTCTCGTTGATGAATGAGGAACATGTGTAGCATTGGGAGGATGGATGGTGCCTGCAGTTGCTCTAAACTGAAGCCTTAGTGTGTCTGTACATTGTTAAAGACTGGACAGCTCTCACATTTCATTTTCAAATTTTTCAGCTTACTAAAGAGAAACCAGCTAGTCCTTGCAGAATGAAAATCCTAAATGAAAAGGAATCCCACAGGGACATGCCACCTGACAAGCCCAGCACTGCCCAGGATGTCACTAGCTTGCCAGCGAGTGGAAGCCACTTGGTCCAAGGCAAGCGGTCACTCCCTGTTCCAAGCAAGGTGGGTTGTCTGGGGCCGCAGGTGGGCTTTGGCTTATGAGTGAAGGGAATAAGACGGCAGCTTTGTATACGTGGGATGTGTCTTTTGATTAAAATCAGGGTTAGGAAGGTTGACGGAATGCCCTATGAGAAGCAGCTTGGTGAGATGCAGAGAACGCAGGCCTGGCATCTGCTGGAGGCTGGCCTCTGGCCTCTGCCACTGGGAACTCTGTGGGTTGAGAAGAGTCAACCTCTCGGAGCATCCATGTGTCTGTGATGGCAGAGGTGCTCTCTGCTTCCCTCACAGGGCCCTTGAGCAGACGAGATGGGATGTCGACGCTTTGAAGACTGCAGCTCCTCACAGGCAGAGAGACAGCCGCCCACATCTCTGCCATTTATTTTCCAGCATTGGTGGTCAGACTGAGCTGTGTGTACTTGTAAAAATGGCCGGAAGCTGGGCCCTACAGCTGCTGACTCAGCTGGCCTGGGTTGGGCCCCAAAATCTGCAGTTCAGGAAGCTCCCAGGTGTGCGTCATGCAGGGCTTTGAAGATTACACTTGGAGAAGTACAGCTCGACCTGTTTCTTCTTCAAATTCAAGATGATAATCATTAAATTATTAAAAATTACTTTAAAACCCTTTTGCAGAAATAAGTAATGGGTACATAATGAAATCTTTGGTGATTCTGTTTTTTAACGTTTTGTTTCAGTTGGGGCTGAGGAAAACCCTGTTAAAACCACCTGGTTGTGCTGGCAGCCTCGAAAGAAAGCCCTCTTCCTTGGGGTGTGTCTCAGGCATGACATCCAGTGTGTCTGCTGCTCCAGCAGCAGGCAAAGGTGAGGCCGGCCTGTATCTCGGGGCTCAAGGCAAGGCCTTGAGTGCTGTCCATTCTTCTGAGACTATCTTCACAGAACCACCTAGGGTCAGCAGAAGGTTCTGGAAGGCTTGCTGTGGTCTGGAGCAAGGGAGACTGTGTCAGGGTCCCTCAGGGTGCTTCCCCTGCTCTGAGGAGAGGCACTCGCAGAAGGGCGTTTTTAGTTTAGGGTGGTCCAAGCAGTCGCGACGCCAGCCTGAGAACACAGAAAGACGCTGAGGCCAGCCTCAGTGGAAATGTAATCAGACACAGGTTTTTAGATAGGACTGTTCCAGGTAATTTAGGGCATATGACCCTTGTAACTCCTGGGTTTTTATTTAAATCTCACTCCCAAACCTTAAATTCAGGCTACCTTAACTTAAGTTCTCTTAATTACCAATTGGCAGTCAGGATTCCAAATCAGATCAATCTGATTCTGGTAAAACTTAATCTTACCAAGCAAAGGATGCCATCTAGTGGTAAAGAGAAGAAGCCTTCGTAGGCTATGGGGAAAGGCATTCGATTTCCTGCTCTCAAGGACTAAACCCTCTTCAAATTATACTTGCTCTGTAGACTGACTGTAGTCCAAGCAGCGTGGTGTGGATTTTGGTCACTAAATATGAAAAGTATGAACTCCGGAATCAGATTGATCTGATTTGGAATCCTGACTGCCAATTGGTAATTAAGAGAACTTAAGTTGTTTCCATATCTTTACAAACTGAGAGGATGATGGCACCCTGGCAGTGCTCTTGTGGGTACTGGAAGAACTACATACGGTGCCAGTCACCTCTATGGCATGTGCTTGGCAAGAAGAAGTTCTGTTACATTAGGTGTTGTGAGGTCTCCTTTGCTGTATTGGCTCAGGGCATCAGCACTATTTTTGTTTATGATTTCTACATTCCTACCTCTAGTAAAGGCTCAGACAAATTGAATGGGGCTTCTGGTGTGTGTATATTTCTCTGTTGTCTGTAGCAGAATCATTAGGGTCAGATACGATAGTGTGTGGGGAGGAACACTGTAAAACTGTTACCCACTGAATAATATGAGTTGTGGCATTAGGCATTCTCTTCAAGTTTTGTGTAAGAATCTTTTACTAGATTGACTTCCATATAGAGTATATTGGCAGCTGAGTATTTTCACCCTAGTTTATCTGCTATTCTGTTTTAATTAGCGCTCATGATCGATATGACCCAAGCTCTTTGTAATTTAAAGGAACCGACCCAGTAACGATTGTGTCTTTTCTCCCCGTTCCCCTCCTCACCTCCCTGACTGGACAGGTGGGGCTTGTGACTAGACTGTCCACTTCCATCTGGTCAGCTAGGGTAGATTTCTGCTGTCGACATAATCAGTGAAGCTAAGAGAGCTTGAATTTATGTATACTTATACACACCTTGGTAACTGTCTAGAATTAGCAGCTCAGAACACACTCAGCTAACCCACAAGCAACCTGAATTGTCCTGTGTTTGAGGATGTTGCCTGATGGACGTGCAGAATGTTGTTCATGTGTCATAGGTTTTTCTTATATGGAAATCATCGTGATAGAAATAATTTTTTTCACTTTAACACATTTTAAGGTAGATTTGCTAAAGATAGTATATCTCGTGTATATACGTTTGTTAAATAATTTCATAATTTAAAAATAACATAAGCTTGAGTGACAATTAGATTTTGTGTGTCTCCTCTTTTAGCTAAGTCAAGTGAACTTCCGAGTAGTCCTGCAGACAGTTCCCGGCCTCTGTCAAACACCAGCCAGTTAGGCAGAATGGGACATGCCGTGTCACAGCCGTCCCTGCAGGCAGGCCCTGCTGGTGTGTCCTGCAGGCAAAGCAGGTGGGCCGAGGTTGCTGATTTGACAGCGGAGCAACCCAGGGCGCCCCCCACGTCACCCCTCATCCAGCTCCAGACTCCAGAACAGGGAGGCCCAAGGCTGAGCTCTCACTCTGGTCTGTCACAGTCTTCTCAACTGAACACAGCTGGGAGGACAGGAAGGCGGGATTCCTTTCTAAATTCCAAGACAAAGGTGATGCCTACCCCTACAAATCAATTTAAAATCCCTAAGTTTTCCACTGGTAAGTAATAGATAAATTTTAATGTGTTTTTGAAATGTTGAACAAATTATATTTAAAGTTAAAAAAATTATTAGTTTTGGTAATGGTGATTTCTTCACTTTCTTTTTTCTTAAAGCATTTTAAATATGTCTTCTGGCTTGCATTGTTTTAGATGAGAAGTCAGTGGTTTTCTTATCTTTCATTCACTCCGCTCTGTGTAACATCACTGTTCTTTGCTGCTCTTAAATTTTCTCTTGTTACTTTCAGCATTTTGATTATTATGCCGCCTTTTTTTTTTTTTTTTTTTTTGGTGAGGAAGATTAGCCCTGAGCTAACATCTGTTGCCAATCCTTCTGTTTTTGCTGGGGAAGATTGGCCCTGAGCTTACATCTGTGCCCATCGTCCTCTATTTTATATGTGGGACGCCTGCCACAGCATGGCTTGATAAGCGGTGTGTAGGTCTGCAGCTGGGATCCACATCTGCAAACCCTGGGCTGCCAAAGCAGAGAACTTAACCACTACGCTACCGGGCTGACCCCAGATTATTATGTATTTTGATGTAGCTTTCTTGGTGTTTATCTTGCTTGGGAGTTCTTGAGCTTTTTTGATCTGTGAGTTAATATTTTTAATCAAATCTGGAAAAAAAGTGGCCGTTATTTCTTCAAATATTTTTTCTTGCTTCCTCTCATTTCCTGGGACTCTAATTACGTATGTTATAGGTCATGAAAGCTCTGTTCTTTTTTTTTTCCAGCCTCTTCTCTTGTGCTTTAGTTTGGATAGTTTCTGCTGTCATGTCTTCAAGTTCATGAATCTTTTCTTCCGCAGTGTGTGTAATGTGCTGTTAAGCCTGTCCAGTTAATTTTTCATTTCTGACGTTATAATGTCCCCATTTTTGTCCTCATGGTGTTTATGTTTTCCTTTAAATTCTTAAACATACTTATAATGGTTGTTTTAAAGTCTGTTTCTTCAATTCCCTCTTCCCTGGCATTTTGAGATCTGTTCATATTGACTAATTTTTTCCCTGGTTATGGTCACATTTTCCTACTTCTTCACATGTTTAATAATTTTTTATTGTCCGCTGGACATTGTAAAGTTTACATTTTTGAATGTCTGGATTTTGTTGTCTTTAAGGAGCTGAATTTTGCTTTGGCAGGCAGCTTAGTTGCGGGTCAGCTTGATCCTTTTGAGCCTTCTTTTTAAGCTTTGATGGGCGGATCTTGAATGGGCTTCCCTCTTGGGGCGATTTAGCCCTGGTACTCACGTGTGGCCTGTCCGAGTCCCTGCTGCGTGTGCTGTGTGTGCACGCGGTCTCCATGCTGGCTGGTTGGATGTGAGTGTTTCCCAGTCCTCGTGAGCAACGGCAGTTTCCCCAGTAGTTGTTCTCATCTCGGCCTCTCAGAGCCTTGCCCTGCACGCGTGCCACTGCTTACTGTGCAGCAAAGTTGGGATCCCTGTCAGACTTCCAGAGCTCCTCTCTCTGTAGCTCCCTCCTCTCCAGCGCTCTGCCCCTCAACTTCCACCTTCCACAGCCTCCCGGAACCCTGATCATTGTCTCCTCAAATCAGCGAGACTGCCGAGCTCTCCTTGGGCTCTCCCACCCGCACGGGCATCCTGATGGGGCCGCCGGGCAGACTGTCTGGCAGGCATGGTGCCTGGGCAGGTGGTAGGTGGGTGTTTGGTCACAGTAAATTAATCTAACAAATTTGTATGACACAGAAAGTCGTACAGAGCTAATTTAAGGGAGAGGGTAGTTCTGGCCTCCTCTCTCAAGTAGGTGCTTTCGAGGAGGCTTGAATAGGTTGAAGTTATCAACATTGCCAGCCAGTACAGTGGCCTTTAATGCCAGAAGACCTCATTCTGAGTTACTGCTGATATAAGGATGAGCCATTCTATTGAGTGTCTTCCAGCACTAGGCACTCTTTTAGGTACAGGGGATGTAATGATAAGATAGAGCCTACTCTCATGGAATTTACAGTTTAATAGTAAAAGGCAAGAAATGTTATCAGATAAGTATACTTTGAGATCATAAGTATAATGAAGCGAATGAAGGATGATGATACATAAAAAAAGAGGATGATGTTATAATAACTGGTATGTGTTGGGGAAGAATTTAGATAGAGGGGTCCTTTCACCTAAGATGGTCAGTGAATGCTCCCCTCAGGAGGTAACACTGAGCTGAGATCTGAACTGTGAGAAGGAAGGAGGCAGCCATTAGAAAAGCTAGAGGGAGAACATTCCAGATAGAAAATGGCAAGTGCAAAGGTCCTGAGGCAGAAAGATGTTTGACAAATTCTAGAAATGGCACAAAGGCTAGTGTGATAGAAATGTAGTTATAGTAGTTAGGATTAGATTCTGCCATAAGCCCAAAGTGACCTTGATTCTAATCAAGACAGATGTTTATTTCCCTCTCACGTAAAAGTCTAGGTGGACGTGTCAGAGCTGGTATGGCTCCCCTCAGTGGTAGGGATCCAGGCCTCTTCCATCTTGTTTTGCTATGATTAGCTTCTCTCCCTCATGGTCCGGTATGGCTGCACCAGCTCCAGCCCTCATACCTACCAGCAGTAGCGATGGAATAGGAGAAGAGCAAGTCCCTACCTTTCAAGGAAACTCACTGAAAGTAGTACATGCCATTCCGTTTATGTCATTACGCAGGACTTAGTCACGTGACCACACTTACCTACAACGGATGCTAAGACATGTCTTTTTTATTCTACACCCAGCTAAAATTTCTTACTAAGAAGAAGAGGAGAGCGGATATTAGACAAAAACTAGCAACCTCAGCCAAGTTAGTGAACGAGAGGAAGAATAACGAGAGATGAAGACAGGCCAGCTCGTCACAAGGTGTAGAGTCTTGTGACGGTGGAATGGCTCTCAGTGCAGGAGGAAGTACTGAAGAGGGTTTTAAGCTGGGAGGAACAGGGCCTAGTGGGCAAGGGTGGAAGCAGAGAGAGCCACGCGGAAGCCTCACCATGATCCAGACAAGAGCTTCTGGTGGTGGTGGAGAAGGTGAGGAGGGGCCTGGTCTGGGGACGTTCTGGCAGCCCAGGATAGGACGTGGCAGTGTGGAGAGGGGACTCAAGGGACCCTGAGGTTTTGGCGGGAGCACCTGGTTGCTCCCTCTCATGGTGACGGGAGGCCTGGAGGGAGAGCACTCCCGGGCAGAGTCCACTGGTCCAGTGTGGACCTGTTGAGTCTGAGATGCCTACAGTGCTCCCGGGCAGAGTCCACTGGTCCAGTGTGGACCTGTTGAGTCTGAGATGCCTACAGTGCTCCCGGGCAGAGTCCACTGGTCCAGTGTGGACCTGTTGAGTCTGAGATGCCTACAGTGCTCCAGTGGGCGGTGCTGAGCAGGCAGGCAGTGTATGAGTTTGGACTTCAGAGGAGAAGTCAGACCTGGAGATAAAATTTAGGTTTCCACAGCAGAGAGCTGTGTGTGTTTGCAGAAATGGAAGCTCTGACGGATGGTTCTGCAGGGGTGCCTCACGGCACGGGGCACATGGAGGTGTTAGTAGCGTTTGCTTCCTTTCTTTCCAAGTGCCTGAAGCCTGCCGTGGCCACGGTTCATCCAGCTACCTCTGCACAGTTGTCGGCTGGTCCTCCTGCTGTCGAGTTGTGTGGAGCCGTGGGACTCCTGCCACCCTCTGCTGCTCAGACCGCGCCTGACAGCTCCTCCCGCTCCTCTCCAGTCTGCCTTTTCGCTTTAGCAGGCTGTTCCTTGTTTCTTCACATCAGGGACAGGGCCGTCTCGCACACACCTGTCATCATTCATCCTGGGCCAGACTGTCCCCACAGCTCAGTACTGGCGAGGCCACGGGCAGCGACCACACTGCTCAGAACATGCAGCTCTGCGGTCGGGTGGTGTCTCACTTGCTGTGTGGCTGAGAGCACTGTGGTTGTGACACCAGCTGTCATCACAGAGGAGACACGGGGACAATGAACAGAGCCCTGCAATGGAGCTTTTGTGTCCAACTTTCTGAAAATATTCCAGAGACCAGTAGTGTCATTTATTGCGACTCTGTGTGCTGCCCAGGGGCCAGACGAAGGATCGAGACCCAGAATGGCTTGGACTTGTCTCTACAGGATTAGAAGCTCCATAGATGGAACCCCACCTTCAACACTTTGGGAGGAAATAATTTCCAACCTAGGATTCTGACCCTGGACTAGCCCTTGGTCAATTTTGAGGGTATAATAAAGATAGTTTAATCATGTAAAATTTCATAAAAATAGTTACCCTCCCGTGCGTCCTTTGGAAGCTCCAGAAGAGTGCTCCAACAGGATGCGGGAGAAAACAGGAAAGAGGGGCATACGGGGTCCATGAAAGAGGGAACCCAACAGGGGGGTGAGAGGGGCTCCCGGGGTGGGAATGAAGGGCCAGCACAGGCTCAGAGAGGCCTCCGTGTAATATGTGGACTCAGTGTCCCGAGAGGTGTAACCTCATGGAAAATACTCCCAAAGACAGAGGTTATGGGACATGTAGTCACAGAGCCCCCTTTGCCCCTATCCCCCGCACACACCCCAAAATAAGAAACAAACAAAAAAATGGAGGCAGTTATTAAGATCTCAGGGCAGGGGCATGGATGGGAGCCCCAGAGACAGATGTAGTTGGGTAGCCCATTTGGCTCAGCTGTGCATGTTGCCGTCCAGTGTCAACACTGACGGCCAAGTGAACTGTAGAGGGCAGGCAGGTGGTGCCTGAGGGAGCTTATTGTGGCAGCTAAAGGTTTTGGAAATGAAGAAGTAGCCGCAGAATTTAGAATCATGAAGGTAAATACAAGAAACACCAGTTGGAAGTAGGGTAGGTGTGGCAGGAGACTGCTGTTTGTCTCTTAAGATTTTTACCCTTCTATTTTTTTCGTGCAGGAATCACTTTGATAAGGTCAGTTTTTGAAAAGAATAGGAGATGGGAAATGGAGATAAGCATGTGCAGGCAGCTCTTTTGAGAGGATTTTGCTTTGAAGAGGTGCAGAGACATGGGGCAGTAGTGGAGAGGGAGGAAGGGGCAGGGGCAGGGGCAGGTTTGTTTATGATGGGAGGGGTCCAGAGAGGGGTTACCTGCAGGAGCCCTGGCCTGGACCGCGCCTGGCTGCCTCGGAGCGTCTGCTGCAAAGGGGTCTCAACACCAGCCCCACCCTCCCCTGGGGCCTGGGGTAGGGGCTCTGGGCACAGCTGTCTGTCCATGGCTTCCAAGAGATAGCAAGGTGTTGCCTGGGGCCCTGGCACCTGCGGCTTTGGGGGCCCCAGGGTGAGTTTGTGAACTGGTTCCAGTGTTGTAAGGGGACTGACTGTGGGCCCGCAGTCTGGGGCCTGTGCTGGGCCTTGCTCAGCTCTCCAAGCCGGCTTGTCATCACCTTGTGATCAGATGAGATCATACACGTGGAAATGCTTGTCTACTGCAAGACAGCACGTAAAGAATGTATTGTCTTGTGATTATCCTTGTGATGTCCTATTCTGGAAATGAAGGAGTTGATGGGCTTTGTGGGGCCTGCTTGGGAGCCTGACCACATTAGTGTTGCTTCCATGGGTGAGTGTCTAACAAATTCAGGTGTCCCACAGGTAGACGTGACTCAGTTCTGCTGAGCGCTGCCTTCTCTTCGGTGCCTGTAAAGTTGTGCTGTGTTCCTGTCTGGGGATAAGTAGCCAGGCTGAGGGCAGAGGTGGTGATGAGGGCTCTTCCTCTTCTGCACCCATCAGTCGCCCCCTAAAGCCCTGCCTGGGGTGGGTCCCCTGGAGGGAGGACGTGTCCCCTCTCACACCCCTGGGCCTGGCAGGTTTTCCCTGTGGGCTTGTCTGACCCTCGTCTACTTTCGGTGTCATCTGCACTGCAACTTGGGAAAATAGAGACATTTAGAGGAGAATTGCCCATTTGGTGAAGAGCCCCAAACGATGGACTTATTACTCGACCCGTGTTTGAGTGACGGCACACTTCCTCTCTCGTCTCAGGCGAACACCCAGGCAGCGCAACGCCAAAGTTCTCTCGGGCGCAGAGGCTGCAGTCCTGCACGTCGGTAGGGAGGTAATGAGTCGGTCTGCCTCCTTTCTTTTAATGTTACTATAAGAACAAACTAACGCATCTGCTGACTTCTTAAAGTCCCTCCTCAAATGTGTGGTGGCCATGCAGGTCTGGCCTTAGCCCCAGTCTCTTGGAAACCACTTTTTTTCATATCCACAGCAGTTTACCATAGCCACAGACTTGCCTCTTGTGGTGTAGACGCTGATCCTCAGCCCTGAGCCAGGGCGGTTCTCCAGCCAGGCTGCACAGCAGGAGTGCCTTCAGAGCTGTTGCAAGTGCCCAGCCCACTCCCAAAGTTTTGATTCGGTTGGTCTGGGGTGGAGCCAGCATCTGTAGGTTCTAAAAGGTGCCTCTGATTTGTGCCCGGATGAAGACCACTGGGTGGTGCAGTTACTCAGACTTGGGGTTTGAATCCTAGCCCCACCACTCCTGGTCTCGATCTAGTCAAGTGACTGGATTGTCCTGACTTTGCTTCTTTACCTGTCCAGGGGGGATGCCACGCTCAGCACAGCAGATCCTGCAAACAGTAAGAAAACGCACACACACATGAGGCCTAGGCTGGTGCAGGAGCTACTCGGACAGCTGCTCCCCTTAGTTGTCCTCCCACTGCCACCCTGTATTGCCACCTGCCGAGGTGGGAGGGCTGCTCCATCCACACATCCGGCCTGTTCTGGTGACCAGGCCCCAGCCTGGCTCTCTTGAGTACTCTGTCACAGTGGAGGGACCCTGCCCAGTGCAGCTCAGTCCTGTGCATAGCAGCTGTGGGTGAGGGCGGAAGTGAGGACACTCAGACCCGTGGGAACAGTGTTTCCAGGGCTGGGGTCCAGGTGTGTGGCAGCATGGGAGCCCTGCTTTGGACCTTGCAGGGATGGGACGGGCAAGATGAGCCCCAGGCTCGGGCATCAGAGCAGGGGCCCTAATCCTGGCTCTGCCCGGGACCAGCCTGGGCCGTCTGCAAATCTTTCCACGACTCTGTGCTTTCCTTTACTTGTGTATGAACGTGGGAGGCACTTCCTGGGGTTGGACCAGCTGCTTTCCCTTATAGCATTAGTCATACCGAGGTTCCTTCCACGCACAGTGGGTCAGAGCAAAACCCCGAGCCGGACAGCCACTGACTGCCTCGCTTCGGCTCTCTGTCCTGGCTTTCTCACCTGTGCATGGCAGAACAGCTCCTGCCTCCCAGGGTGACTTCGAGGATTACATTTGTTTATATTTTTATTTATTTTCACTGGAGTTTGTGGTGGAGCTACCAGTGCTCAGCAATAAAGGGCAGAGGGCAGTGATTCCAGAACTTTGCAGAGTGGCAGCTGGACTAGAGCACCCCTCCCTCCTGCCCCTGCTCCTGGAGTGATGCTGTTTTTCAGTTAGAGTTTGTTTTCAGACTCTTTTGAGAGAACATAAAGACTGTCCTTGTCGGATGATAGAACCAATAGATGGGTCATCCCCAGACCTATGTGGAGACATTGGTAGGATGTTCTGACTTGTTTATAACAATTGGCTCTACCCAGCCTCTCTTCTTTATCAACAACAACAAAACAAACTGACAGTTGGGTAAGATTCTTGGCAGTCGAAGCCACAGGTGTGACCAGGGTTGGAAGGAGAGATGCATGAGAAACAAGCAGCAGGTGCCGTGACTTACTTGTTTGTGTTCACATTTGAGTCAGGTAGCCTTAGACCTGGGGATGAATGAACACTCAGCGAAACCTGCTCATCCACTCACGTGCCCAGCCAGACCCCGCTGTGGGTCTGGACTTCCTTATGGAAATATTTATGCCATCAAAAGTTGACTTAGATCTCTTCTGAACCTCCCATGAAGTATGTTTTCGTGATACTACCCAGAAAGTGCAGGCACACTTGATGGGAGCCCGTGAGGAGAGAGGGGAGGCCTCACCCACTGAGGAACCGGAAGCCTGCGCTAGGGATTCCCTGGGGGATTGGCAGAAGCTCTGAGTCCCTGCCCTCGCTGCAGCCCCTCCTCTGAGAACAGAGCTCCAACAGGCTTTGCTGGCTTGAGCCTTTTATGTTGAAACCATAGGACTTTGTACTGCATTAGCAGATTGGCTGAATAATTAGATATTTTTTAAGGTCATCTCTGCTTAAGACTCCAATTTGTCTTTGCAGGATGGTCGTCCATAGCACTCCTGCGAGACGCTCATCAGGGCCAGCCTCACAAAGCCTTTTAAGCAGTGCGAGGACCCCTGTGAGTGCGAGGCGCATATCAGCGTTGCCCACACCTGTCAGCCGTCGACTCGCTGGCCTTCCATTGGTGACCCCTAAAACCACGCCCAGGATTCTGGCTTCTCCCCTGTGCGTGTCTACTCGGCGACTTTCTTCTGAGCCCCGGAAAAAATCTGCATCGAGGTAAGAGATAAAGGTTGCAATAAGTGTGTCTCAAATTCATAAAACCTCAAGTGATCCCCGTGCTGGAAAGGCTGCCCAGTCTGGTACTTAGAAGCCACTTGTCAGGAACCAGCCGGGCTGCGGTTTATCCCCCTTCTCAGCGGCAGCGACGGGAGCCTGACCCTCTGCTCTCCTGTTGTTCTCTGAAAGGAAGGGAGGGCACTGGCTTTCTCCTTCATCATATTTCTCACCTGCTGTCATCCTGGGTTTGGGCTGGAGGGCTGGGCAAGCGAGGGAGAAAGCCTGCACATGAGTACAGTCATGCACCGTCTTGGTCAACAACAGGCCGCGTATACGATGGTGGTCCCACAGGATTAGTACCACGCAGCCTAGGTGTGGAGTAGGTTGCACCATCTAGGTGTGTGTAAGTATACTCTGCGATGTTCATACAACAACGAAATCGCCTCATGATGTGTTTCTCAGAATGCGTCCCCGTCATTAAGCGACGCGTGACTACACAGTCTGGATGGATGAGGGCTCTCACTGGGAGGAGCCCTCTGGGCGAAGCTGCACAGGAAGGTGCGTTCGCATCAGGAACTCTGGGATCCAGTGCTGTCCTTGCGACTGGGTCCCGGAGAGAGTCCCGCAACCCTGCCCTCAGCGTCTCTGTCGGGTGACGACACTCAGGCTTCCAGCTTTGTAGAAGCGCCTGCTCCACCCGCCTCTCTTGCCTCGTCTCCCCCTGTCTGTCACTTCACTCCAGCCACACTGCCCCTTCGCCATACCTTGGACAGGTCTGTCCTTGCCATCCTGCCCCTGGTCTTGGGAGAGCTGTCCCCTCCCTTTTCTGAAGTTCACGTTCAGGGGCCAAACTCAGTGGCCTTTCTGGAAACTCCCTCCCTGCTCAGTGACTCTGTTCCGTCTCCTGCTTTGTTTTCTCAGAGCCTCACTCACCTTCTCGCTGCCTAAACAGGGTATGTGTGTATTTGTTTCCTTGACCATCGTCTGATAGTCCCTTAGCACAGAAACTCCCTGAGGGCTGGGACCTTCTCCGTCAGGCTCGTCACCATGTCCTCAGAGCTGAGAACGGGCTCCTGGCACATAGGGTGCTCAGGAAATATTTATGAGAGGAGTCACACGTAGAATCTGTTGTTGGTCACTAGCTTCCTTGACTAGAAGTTTCGTCTAAAGGAGAGTTAATGGGCAAAGCATAGGCATTGGGCTTTCAGTTCGCTTATTATGTCACGGCAGAGCTGTGGGAGAGGCTGGGGGATTCTGGGAACGTGAGGACCTTAAATTGACCCCTCTTTTTCACTTCTGATTCCAATTCCATTTCTGGTCTGATGCTCTTGAGCCAGACAGCTTCTGAGGCTCCAGGCACTGGGGCGAGTGAGGTCTGGATCCTGGGGCTCCTGTGGAGAGGACAGGCGGGCTCCCTGCCCATGGATGAGGCCAGGGTTGAGAGCCCCTAAAGCTACGGATTCTGCAAAGAGGAGCTCGCAGATCTGTGGATCCCGGGTCGTGGGTGGGAAGGTTATGATGGTCTCAGCTCCCCAGCCTCAAGAGGCCACTAAGGACTTGGGTGGTCAGGCAGCGTCCTCTCCTATGCCATGAGGCTGTGAGATACAGGCTAGCAGGGAGCAGGGGGCTTCTCCACCTGCACCACCCAATACAGAGGCCGCTAGCCACGTGTGGCCATTTAAATTCTAGTTAATTAAGTTTAAAGGAACTTCAAAATCCAGAACTGAATTTCTGAAGCTCATTTGCACCAGCCACATTTCAGGTGCTCAGTAGCCCCATGTGGCCAGCGGCTCCTGTACTGGACAGTGCAGACACTGAACATTCCTGCCTTATCCAGCAGGGACAGCTCTGCCCCTTGGAGGGGACCGCTTTCTGCTTCCCATCAGTTGTGGCAGTGCTGTTACTTGGGGCTGTCCAGTAACTGACCTGAGTCCAGTGGGCTGACCTTCCCCGTCCGTCCGTCTCACTCCCAAATGGCAGTGGGGAGAAATCAGCAAAAACAGACAAGATTGCAGTGAGAAGATAGACATAAACAGGAAAGATTGACGGTATTCTCAGGAAACGTGGCCTGCAACTCTCTGACAGTGAATTTGAAAACCTAATGAAATGATTTCCTAAAAAATACGTTGTCTAAATTAGCCCAAGGAAAAGGGGAAACATGAATTAAGCCATAGTTGGAGCTTAGAAGTGACTAAAGATCGAAAAAGGCACCTGGCTCAGGTAAGGTCACAGCTAGTCACATGTGACCTTTAAACATCTAATTTTTAAAGTTAACTATTTCAAACTACAGATAAATAAAGATGAAAGGTTCTATAATTCATTTTAATGCCAAACCTGATAGCTAATGATAACACCTAAGAAAGGAAACTGGAGACCGATTTCACTGATGAATATAGGTATTAAAAAAACAGTAGCTTGTCATCTATCTGGAAGAAAATTAAATTGGACCCATCTTATATCATGGAGAAATAAATCCCAGATAAATTAGAGACTTAAATATAAAAAACAAAAACAAGCAACAACATGGATGGGCTTGGAGGGTATTATGTTAAGTGAAGTAAGTCAGAAAGAGAAAGACAAACACTGTATGATCTCACTCATATCTGGAAGATAAACCAACACATGGACAGAGAGAACTGTATTGTGGTTACCAGCGGCAATGGGGGTGGGGGATGGGCACAAGGGGTGAAGGGAGACATGTATATGGTGATGGACAAACAAAAATGTACAACCCAAAACTTCACAATGTTATAAACTATTAAAACATCAATAAAAAAAATAATACAAAAACAATAGAAGAAAAAAGTAGGAGACTGTGTGAATAATTAGAGGGCAGGAGACTGGAAACACAGTTGAAAACCCAGGAGTGATGAAGAAAAGACAGCCATATTTAACAGTGTAAAAATGAAAAACTTCTCTCTTTCTTTATGGCTAAAATTACCATAAATGAAATCAAGAGACAAATGGTTGAATATAAAACAACAGGCAAAGGATCTGAAGAAGCTCAAATGGTTAACAAATCAGAGAAGACACCCAAATTCACTACTGTCAGGGAAATGCACATGACAGAAACCAGGAGGCAGCTCATGGTAGATCCTTGGGGTTCCTGCTGACTGGTGAGGGTGTGGGGGAGAGGGATCCTGGAACACTGCTGGCAGGAGTGTGAGTTGTGATGGGACATTTTGGAAAGCCATTTATCAACATCTGTTACAATTCACACAGACCCCTGACCCAGCAATCCTGCGCAGGAGTGAGGCTACAGTTCATATGTACAGAGAGGCCCATAGCAGCAGGGTTTCTAGTGGCAAAGACTGGAAGTAAACAACCATTTAGGCAGCCGGTAAGAGGCCTGAGTTAGCATTGTACTTGGGGGGGTTTCCATAAGGAATCCTTGAGGGAGAAAGGATGCAGAAGCGGGTGTGGAATATGATCCCATTTCTGTAAAAGAAACAATGGCTGAGAAAAAAGCCCTGTGTGTGTAAATATATCTACCAGCGGTAGGTGTTGACTATGTAGATATCTACTTAGTTCTACGAGAATAAAGAAGACCGTGGAAGAAAAAAATGCTCAGATACATGTGACATGGGGGAGAGAGAATATCAAACAGAAAGGAAGACAAACAAGACTCAGTATGTAAATAGTCACAGTGATCTGTGTAAGTCTGTTGTATATAAATGTAAATAGAGAAAAAAATTCTTTTTTCAGATTGTTGTAAAGTGTTTAAAATATTAAAAAGAAAATATAGGGCCCGGCCCGGTGGCGCAAGTGGTTAAGTGCACACGCTCGGCTGTGGCAGCCCAGGGTTTGCAGGTTCGGATCCCGGGCGCGCACGGACGCATGGCTTGTTAAGCCATGCTATGGCGGCGTCCCATATAAAGTAGAGGAAGATGGCCACGGTTGTTAGCTCAGGGCCCATCTTCCTCAAGGAAAAAAGGGGAGGATTGGCATCAGATGTTAGCTCAGGGCTGGTCCTCCTCACAAAAAAAAAAGAAAATATAGTGTATTCCTTGTGTAATTCAGTTTTGAGTCATCAGGTGTTGAGGGCCCACCAGGCAGCCGACTCTGTCCTCGGTCTGGAGACACGGCAGGAAGCAGGCAGATGGGCAGGTGCTCCCCACACCGTCTAGTGGGAAACACAGTCCTCAAAGGAGCATCTGCACGGGAGATGTGTGCTACGGGGGCAGCCTCCACCATGGGGTGTATAACCAGGGGATCCAAACCTGCCTGGGTGCAGGCCAGGCTCCTGAGGAAGCAGCAGGAGGAGGCGCTGTTCCAGGCAGGTGGAGCAGCCCCCGGGCTCCCCTGGGGCTGGGAGGGTGGGGCCGTGCCTAGGAACCAGGAGAAGCTGTGTGGTTTGCATGCCGATGGAGGCGAAACTCCTGCTCATGGTCCTCGCTCCTTTCCTGCTATTTAATAACCTTAAGGACAAGGGAATAAAAGGGGCACATGTTGATAGCAGCCTGGTAAAATTTTAGAGCTGACAGAACCTCAGAAGTCATTCAGTCTTCCCAACAGAGCTGGAACAAGAGCCAGGACGCTCTCCACTGTATGACACAAAAATAACACCACGGGCAAGCAAACTAGCATTTACAGGAATTTCCTTATAAGATTTTCCTTTGTTTCCTCCTGCAGAACTTCACCAAGGAGGGAGAGCAACAGCAAGGCTGCTTCTGGGTGCTCGGACTTGTCGTCCGACGAGAGTTTTTCTCCTCCGTCTGCTGTGCCACAGGCACTTAGCTTTTCTCCAGAAAAGAGTGATTTTACTTTTTCAAAAAGTGCCACCACAGAAGTAGCGCTGGATGAAGCACAGCCGCCTGAAGATGCAGCCCCCAGTGAGGTCAGAGACAGGCGCGGGTCACTCGTGTTATCCTGGTGAATGGGAACTGCCCTGGAAGCCAAGGGGTAGCTCAGGACCACGGGCCCAGAGTTGCCTCTACAGGACTTCATCCTGTGACCCTGGGGCCTCCAGCACCAGCTGTGCCAGAGAGAGGAAGTCAGGACCTCCGGCCTCTGGAGGAGAAAAAATCCACCCCTCCCCCTGTATTTGACACGGATAGGGCCAGCGTTCACAGGACAGGAGGTGGGAAGCCCGGCAGCAGCGAGGGGTTAGTGGGCGTTCCAGTGTCGGCTCTGACAGGTGGGAGGTGGATGGGGGTGAAGAGTGGCCAACAGGAGAGAACTCGGTCAGTGCATGCTCACCACAGCCAGCTCTCCCCACCCAGGGCCCGTCCCAGCCCTCCTCCTTGAGGCTTTGGAAAGCCCTCCCTTTCCAGACTGTTAGCCACCTGGGGACATAAGCAAAGCCTCCATTTTCCCAAGATGGTTGACAGAAAGATGCTAGAATTGCCTTTAAATCTTGTGTTCTTGTCCAGGCTGTTCTTGTGGATATCAAGCTGGATCAACTTATCATCACTCCGAAAGCTGACAGCACACCCCTCATCGACCTCCCTCTCATCGATCTTTGCAATACTTCAGAAGCAAACCTGGCTTTGGGATCAGAAAGTAGACCTCTGATCGACCTCCTGACGAACACTCCAGACATGAACAGAAACGCTGCCTTGAAGCCTCTCCACGAGGTGGCACAGGTGAGGAGCAGCAGGGGGGCTGGGAGGGTGGGGTTGGCTTCAGCCTTGGCTGGCCTCAGTTCTAGGTTTGTTCCTCAACCCAGGAACATCACAGTGACCCAGGAAAGAGGCTACTGGGGCTTCTAAGGGTGACATGTCTTAGGGCACGCCTCATCTTTGGTGGCGAGAGCTCAAAGTTCAAGTCCCACTGAGGGATCCTGCCTGAAGCCGGGAGTTCTCTGAGGGCAGGGGTCACATCGTTTCCACCCCAGAGTCCCCCGTGCCTAAGGTCTGACAAGGGAGCACAAATATTTGAGAACTCGGAGTTCTTCAGTAGGTGCATCTTCTCCAACCAACTTCTTAGATGGGACAGTTGAGATCTCAGTGTGCCCGAGCCAGGCTTACTGAGGTGTTATGGCACCGAGCCGCGGCGAGACGGCTCGTGGGCAGCCCAGCCTTCAGTGAACAAGGTCCTGCAGTGTTATGGGCCGGGAGGGGCAACTCGGCCGCTCTTTTCACTTCCTGTTGCTTCTCTTGCAGCTGATAGACCTGGCCTCTCCTCTCATCCAGCTGAGTCCCGAGGCTGACAAAGAAAACACTGACTCGCCGCTTCTCAAGTTCTGAGTAGAATAATTTTGTGCATTTTACTCTGTTACAAGAACAGTTGGTCCTAAAGTGGTTTTCAACGCTTAGAAATAAATTTTAGGAGAAATTGTATTGGAAAAATTAAAAAAAAAAAAAAAAAGCCTAAGTACAATGACCATGCCTGCAGGGGGCTGCTGGGTCGCGGGGTGTTTTTGCCCACCTAAGGTCACTACTATCTGGGACCTTCCATCCTCGCTGCCCCACGCACTGCGCTGGAATACCAAGTGGAAGTCGCTCCAAATGGAGAATTTTGTTTTGAATCTTTTGTACGTAAAATAGCAAGTGACTATTTTTAAAATTAAGTTTGTATGAAAAGTTAAATATTCTAGATTTAAATTGTAAAATAAATGAAAATGCATTAAAGCACATCTGGATTTTTAAGATTATCTTGATTTTCAGAAATACATAGCTATTTTTATCACTCTTATCAGTATGCAAGATTTATATTATCCAAACTCTAATTTAAAATTTAATGTGACGACATGGATGGACCTTGAGGGCATGATGCTAAGTGAAATAAGTCAGACTGAGAAAGACAAATACCATATGATCTCACTTATATGTGGAATCTAAAAAAAGAAAAAAAAAAAAACCCGGAACTTACAGAGAATAGATTGGTGGTTGCCAGGGGTGGGGAGTGGGTGAAATGGGCAAAGGGGGTCAAAAGGTACAAACTTCCAGTTATAAAATAAATCAGTGATGGGGATGTCATGAAAAAACAATTTAGTGTGAATAAAAATTGGTTTAAATGCAGGCCCTAGACCCCTCCACCCAGCTCTGGGGCAGGCCTAGTAATCGGCATCTTTACTGGGCACCCAGGTGACTCAGATGCCAGGGCCGCAGACCACCCCGTGAGAAGAGGCTGCTCAGGGAGGTGGGAGTGCAGAATGGAGAGAAGGCAGGGGATGGGGGCGCTTGTCTGCACACTGAAGTGGGGCCTGTGTCCGAGGGAGAGAGAAGCGCTCTGGTGGAGGGCAGCGGGAAACAGCAGGAGCTGAGGGCCACTGCAAATCCTATTCTCTGCCTGAAGCCATTCTAATTTAATATTTTTTAAAAACTAGCTGGCCGAAAGCCACTACTCTGTTTAGGTATCTCCTCATTGTATGAGGAGATTTCTCAGTCTTAGTTCAGTGGCCTCACAGCAGGCAGTAGAAAAGCTGCTAATTGGACCGCTTTTTGGGCTCCTGTCGGGTGCTCCCTGCATGAGACCAGGGAGCCCTGGTCCCAAAGGCTGAGGGGAGGGAGCTGGCGGGGCTGTGCTTCACCTGGTACAGTGAATGTCCGATGCAAAGCGCCATTTGGAATGGTGTCTCCTGTGGGATCAAGAGAACAGCACTGCTGCGCCTATGATAAAAGCTTGACATTGAAAGGCAGAAACACTTGTTAGTACGAGCTCGTAACTGGAGTATCCCGAGTAAACTAGCAGTTAGACTCTGAAAACAAGGCACTTTGCTCTAGGAACTCTCCCTGGCTAGCCGCAGCAGGGAACCTGCAGGAGTCACAGCAGTCTTCGCCTCTTCCCTCGATTCCCATGGGCAGCACAGAAGTCTAGAATCCAGAATTAGCACCACAAGGGTTCTCAAATGTCTGGTGTGGCCCCTCATTTCATAGGGGAAGAACCAAAATCTGGAATCGAATTCATTCAACAAATATTTATGGAGACTCTACTGTGGGGAGGCTGCATTTCTGCCAGGGACACAGAGGGACACGCATCCCTACCTCCTGGGGCTTAGCGTCTAATGACGCTAAGTGACCGAATGGGGCTCTGGCCACCCCATCCACACCCGGGGGTCGAGCTGGGCCTTGGCCCTCGCCTCCTCCCTGGTTTTTCTCGTCTGGGGCCCCTTCCCCCCAGCCCAGGTGCCTCCGGAGCAGCCAGACTCCTTGGGGCTCAGGTGCGCTATCCAATCTACAAGTGTCCTCAGACAGGACTAATCTGACTGTCATTTTCTTCAAAAAGATGAAGGCCCCCAGAGCATGAGCTGGATAAAGCAGCGCCTCCAACCCCATGTGCGTCATCCCCTTTCCTTCCTGGTCTGGTCTCTCTGTCTGGCTGTCCTGCTGAAGCTGCTCCTTCTGACAAGCGTCCCCCAAACTCTTTTCCTCTTCTGGCCCCTGGACCCTAATCCACCACTCCATGGGCTCGGTGTGAGAAATCACACATGAGGACTGGAGACTAAAGTGCTTCTGGAGTGCCTTGAGGGGCAGGCCTCTTTCTCTGTAGAATAGTGTGAGGCACTTTGGCTGCCACTAGAGGGCCACCCTCCCGAGTTTAAGAGGTCCAACTTCGCGTGGTTTTTACAGTATTTCATTAATTTCCTAGTGCAAATGTCTTCACATTTTCATCTCTGAAATTCGCATCTTAACATCGCTGTTGGCAGGCGCCACTTAGGATGTCAGTCTTTGCCATCGCTGGTCCATCCATGGACCTGGACTTTTCACAGTGGTCAATCACTTGGAGCTACAAAGTAGCTAAAATACCATATATTGAACTGAAAAGTAGCAGAAAATACGTTGCCAAGGTATCAAGTTTCAGCCACTTTGTGGGTTGGCGGCAGCATACTTAAACCTCAAGTCCTTTCTTTGGGCAGGAAAACTAGACTTCTGCCCCAATATTGTATCAAACTGCCACACCCAGAGAGGGCATGGTCCTCTAGGCTGAGCCAAAAAATCCAGCAACATCAGCTCGGGAACGGCCACAGCCTGGGCTAAAGGTTCACCCCTAAATCTGCTGGAGGCCAGATACTGGGTTTATTCATGTCTTTCTGGGAACTGCAAGGTGAAACTGCTGCCCTTGTTGGATGTTTCCTGATAACTTCTTCTTCTGAAAAAGCGCCCTTCTGTCCCCACAGGGGCCCTGCCACCTTACCTCCTATCGGGAGCTCACCCCGTGCCTGCTCCTGGCACCAGTGGCCACGACTCTCCAGTTGGCAGTTCCTGCTTCTCTCCTCAGAAGTGGAGACGTGGGGCCTCAGTTCACTCGAGATCCTTAAAACTACTCCTGTTCTCTGGAAAACGGCTCCCTTAGTAATTATTCATGTTTAATCATTTATGTCCACTGCTGACCTTTTCAGAAACTGTTAGGAAACTGATTTTCATGCCAAGTGTTGGTGTGGGCCTGATCTCAAGACCATCTGCATTTTCGGTGGCGTTTCCTCCCCTGCATTTTTCAAACCATGGTTCAAATCCTACTTGAGATCAGCTGAGCAGACAGCACCAACAGTTTTAAAAAACAAAACAGAATAAAATGAAAATATAAGATTGCATGGCACATTGCAGGGGTGAGAACTGTTTTGACATGCGTTCTATTTTACACTTACGTGTGTAGATGGGTGTGCACTCTGGGCACAGTGTGCGCTGTAAAATGTGACACTGTGGGTTGAAGGTGGAAAAACAAAACTGCTGATTGAAAGCACGCCTGCATCTTGCACATGCGGGCTGCAGCTCCTGGCGTCAAACCAGACCTCACCGCCCTCTGAGCCCGAGGCGCCCGGGTCTGAGCCCGTCGCCCTGGCCCTCCCAGCCTCTCTGCGGGTCAGCCCCTGGACCTCCAGCCCGCTCTGCTGGGTCCCGGTCTCCCATCCCGGCCTCGTCCTTGGGTTCCATTTACACCCTCTTCTTTCAGGCCCAGCAAATGTGTCGAGGTTCTGCTGTGTCTGTCACCCAGAAACCTCCCACCTGTCATTTGCCCGGCTCCCCCGGGCACGCACTGACTGTCTCACTCATTCAGGCGCAGCCGCATCTCCCGTCGGATGGCCCCACGGCACCGCACACTTGGAGCAGACCGGGCAGGCCACTTCGTCCTCAGGGAACATCCCAGGAGACAGAAGCATCAAGCCCTCCACCCTCTCTGCCCCCCTCATCCATTCCACCAGCAAGGGCTACAGACTTTACCTCCAAATACTATCTTTGTGTCGCCACCATCGCTTTCCAGATGGCTGTCATGGCCTCCTAACCAGGCTCCCGGCCCCTCCTCTCGACAGGGCAGCCAGGAAAATCTTATAAAAGTTTAAATGTGATCACCTCGCTCCCCTGCTAAACCCTCCAGCGGCTCCCACTGGGTCTGCGCGACCCCCGCCCCAGGGGCCCAGGGCCTTTGCACAGGCTGGGTCCCCCGCCTGCTTGTCTTTCCTTCTTGTTCAGCGAGCCCTCTCCCTCTCCTGGAAGAACCCAGCTCGGCGTCACCCCCTCGGGCCGACTCAGTCCCTCCCTTGGCCTTTCAGCGCGTGCGCAAGGCGCTGCCTAAGCCGCAGGCTCCCCGGCGCCGGAAATGCAGCGGCGAACAGCACCCGCCCGTCCCCGCGCGGCGCACACGCAGCCGCTGACACAAGAGAGCACCGAGCACCGCCGGCAGCGGAGCCCGCCCGGGAGGGAAAAGAGAGCGGGGGCGGGCAGGGGGCGCGGACGTCGGCGGAGAACGGGACTCCGGAATGCAAGTCCAGAGAGGGCGGGCCAGGCCGGGAAGGACGGAACGCCGCGCGCCGAGCACACGCCTCCGGCCGGGCCGCGCCCGCGTGCTGCGCGGCGGGGCGGAACTTCC